GAATAAAATTCTAAAAGGTACGTCGTGAACCGACCTGGATCGAAACCAAACCGACGGCGAAATAAAAACCAGCCGTCATTGTCGCGGAGCTTCCAATCTGACAAAGACTGATCGGGTTCCATTGGCGAGCGCGAAATCGGAGAAACGCGGCGAAATGTCCCGTCATAATGATGACCGATCGTCCCGACGAGTCTTATTTGTCGGAAACTGATTTAACTCGAGCTCCCATTTCCTTTCCAGAGCCCCTACACGCTCGATAATACCACAATTAACACGCTCCATTACTCTTCCCGCGAACATACGAATTTTTCACGCAAATCATCCGTCTCTGTTTCGTTTTCAAGGGAAGCTGTTGGCCAATGGACGAAAGATTAACTTCGACCGCAAGATATCTGGCCGCTGGTCGAAACTTGGAAGATACAAAGTTTCCGCGTATAATGTCACCGGGCATCGATAAACGCTGCCATTCTCGAGACCTGGCCAGCGTTCATCGTTAGTCCCTTCCTTTGAAATGGCTTCGCTTCCGGGAACTTGGCACTTGGTACGCTCGCTATCAACGTTAACAGAACTTACCATCGTGGAATATCCAGAGATCGATTTTTCCAGCACCTTCTTTCACCGATTTTCTTTGTGTCGGATTTTTTAATTTCGTAACGCTTCACGATCAGCGCGGGCAATTTATTTTATCGATAAACGTATTTACAGGTTCGAAAATTGCGCTGCCCATTGTGCCAACCGGCTCTTGCCCTTGCGTACTCGATAGTTTCCACCCTAGCGAACGGCGAGCGTGTTCGTCTCCGGAGCAGTTTTGTATTCCCGACTTTCCGTCCCCGGCGCAAGAACCGTACAAATAGTCGGCGTAAAACTAGTTGGACGACGTAAACAGCTGTCGTGAGTGCACTGGATGGAATATTTAATTCCGCGAAAATGGTCGATGCTGGAAAAGTCGAAATCGTGACGGGAAAACGTTAACAAGGTTCCACGGAGTTGGGACAACTTTTTCCCACGTTTCGCGTCGATGAGTTTCTTCGATTCCGAGGGAACTTCGCGAACGCTAAATAACGATTTACACCGTACTATGTCGCGATCGGAATTTAACAATCGCGATCGCGAATCGTAATAAATTGGAACGATGACGGAGCTCGTCGTAAAGTAACGACGGTCTCTATCGACAACCCAGGTTTGTTATAATTCTCCAGCCTCATTACGTTGTTCGTTAATTTATCAACGCCACGGTAACGACGATTCTTTCGACGCGAAATCCCCGGACTCGTTGAATCCGAGATCGCGTCTCGTTCAATTTAAAATGTATGATCTTGATAATATGACGACGTTTATTCCCGTACTATCTCCTCCACGTGTTCTTGCAGACGGTGATAAATTAAATTTTCCAACGCAATTTATAGGCTTTGAATAGAACCTGGAGTTCGCGAACAACGAATAAGAATTAATTCGTAAACGTTCGTTTATGTTTCATTCGTAAATTACAATGGAATCCATTAACAGTACGCTTGGACCTACGTCCAGGCGAACAAAGCAGCAGACGAACGACAGTTTAGAAATTAATTCGATATTTTTGTCTTTATTCGCGAATGAAGTTTGCCCAGCTGCGAATGGAATTGTTAGCTGATGGGGAATTTCTCACCAACATTCACATTTTTACTAATGGAATATTTCTGACATAAGGTGGACGAGATAGGGAGCTTTCTAAAGTTTAAAGAAACAGTTTTGGTCATTTGTTTGGGACCCATTGGACGAGCGTGTCCCCCTGCAAGACTCAGCGTTCGACGCTTTCGGCGGCGTACGACATCAGAGATAATTTGCATGGAAATGAGGATAGGCATTGATTTTACGTCGAAGCCAGTAACAGAACTAGCCCGGTGATAGATTGTCCCGCTACCTGACGTCGATCAAGTTTTCTTGTCGAAAAACGGGAGTGGAATTCCCCTTTCATCGTTCCAGCGGGGGCGTTCGGTTTCTTCCCGATCGAGTTCTGGCCTGCCCCGACGAATGTAAATTCCTGTCGAACACGTAATCTTCTACGTGTCGAAACACACGCCACGGTTTCGCCATTCTTTCCCTTTCTTTTTTTTTACCCATTGCCTTTCTGCTCGCAGGCTTGCCATAAAATGCTGAACGACTTTTTTTCGTTTCATGGTTTACACGAGAGCGGAAAGCGCGAACGAAACGAAGAACGACGACGCGAATAAATGTTTCCGGTTTATTCCTTCGTTTTTTTTTTTTCAACTCGCCCCAGACGCGTCAGAAGGAAAAGCAATTTAAGCCCAGCTGAACGCAATCGCGTAAATCTCGTCTGCGCGAGAAAACAGTGTGTTTCGTATGAATCGAGCTCTCGCGCCCGTAATCGCCATAAACTTCCGGTACCCGCGGCGCGGTTGTCGCGCGAACAAAAATGCCCCGGAAATCGAACGAATCGAGGTAATTAATCGAGTCCTGGAGGAACCTGTGGGCTTCAAATTTTACACGAAACAGTCGACAGACACTCCTGGGCAAATATTTGCCTCCATCTTCCATCTTCCGCCTTTCGCGACGCGACATCCCCGCGTCTAGTCACGCGGCACGACACTGAAATTGCGCCATTAATTTAACGAGCGACGCGCCACACATTTCCTGGTAATTTTCAGCCGGGTCATTAAGGCGACGCTTGTATCTCCAGTAATCGTATTATCGAAAATCTACGGCCACGGAAATTGCCATCATCGGCAAAGAAAACTATCGGCCGTGGACGCGACCAGTTTTATCGGGCTTCGATAGAGAACCGCGAACCAACGACCGAACAAGAGCTCGTTCATTCGCTTGCTCGTGCCGTTATCGCGATAGGAAAATAGAAAAATTTCATCCGTAGGTATTTCACGATGTTTCGTATTTAATTTTTACTCGCGTTCTTTAGAACGATCGAAGCACTATTCCCCGAACGACGATTAATTAAAATCGCTTAGCGAACCGTCGATTATGCGTATTTCTGTCGAGTTTCTTTCGTCACAGGTAGATAAAATTTTTTGCGCACACGATTTACAACTTTTCGCGACGTGCGCATCGCAGATAGCTCTTTTACATGTACAGCAACGTATCATAGTTTTGTTTTGCAATCCATTCCGCGACCGCATATTTGTCAACGCTGTCGTTCGGTATTCTTTCCCGCCAGGTGTGATTATTCTATGTCTATATACAAAACCAAATTTATCGTCGATTTCAATACCGACTGCGGAGTTTGCGTTGCGATCTCGTTCAAACAAACATAGTTTCCCCCCGTTCAAATTCCTATTGTCGAACGCTGTAAGAGGGATGATCATTATTGGAAATTTTCTATCTCGACGTTCTCGTACGAGACATCTTCGAACCGTAGTTATTTCAAATTAGTTATTTCTATTTAAAATATTCTGCCGGACGAGCTAAAAGCTTGATTAACGTTGTAGGAGTGGTAATATTAATATTCGTTAATATTACTACACTTTGTCGATGTAATCGGATTACTCGATACACGCGTAGCGAGCAAAGCACCCGCTGTGGAACAAAATTTTCTGACGTGATGAAATATTTATATCCATTTCGACTCCCAAATGGCCGATAATAATTTTAACAAAATTCACGTTACAGAAAATTATGCGATGCATTCATAAATCTGCTCTTCGCTCGCGACGACTGTATATTAGAGGGGGGTTTAAGGGGTCGAAAAACAAACGAGTACGTGCTACTTTCATATCGAACGGCTCATTAGTCGGTCAAGGGCTGTCAAACTCCAAATACCCTAGGGTTAATGGTTACTCGGCGGCCCTTCCGGTCCGTCGAGCATCGAACGGACTAAAATCAGCCGGCCACAGGCGATCCGATAGGTCCTCCGCTATCTATAAAAATGTCGGGCATGTATCCGCAACTTTAAATCGCTGGCTATTATTCCGACGAGGGGCAGACGAGCCGGCCAAAAGTTTCTCGATAAATCATCACGGGAAACGGAAACGAGGGTGGCGCGATAGGGGGCTAGCAAAACGGAGAGAAAAGGGCGGAGTTGCGAAACTAATAAATATTAATACTGCACGGTTACTTGATAATCGATCGGAACTTTTACCGGCCGCGCCTTCGAACAATCGGCCCGACGGTGCACACCGTGGGTCCGTTCGATCTATAGTTTTTTTCCAACGGATACGGCGATTCGACGTTTTCGACGCTGTAACGATTAACGCCAACGACGCGTAACGATTGTCCGTCCGGCCAATGAAAAAAAAACGCTATTGGTTTGACGTCACGTTCCGAACATCGCGATACATTTCCGTCGTTCTCCATCGACGTTGTCACGAGGGTGGCGAACCGGTGGCACGCGTGTCCGATCTGGCACGCGAACGTACGATAAATACAAGTTTGCCCTCAAAATACGTGTAAAATACACTCACTGTAGCGAATGAAAATTTAGGACGATGGTACTTGGTCTTGTAATCGTACGTACGCTTAATTCGATCGATTAATTTCTCCAGGTATCTGTTCTACGTCTTAATGTTTAAAAGAAAGTGTCTTCGTCCTTGTAGAATTAAATGTACAATCGTGGTAAAGTAATAACTAGACTGCGGATCTTTATGCAAATTCACATTTTTATTAATAGAATCAATGAAACGGAAGCTTCGCAGAGGGCTGTCTCAACCCCTAAATATAATAATTCGTATCTTACTTTAAGTATTTCTTATATTTTTGCATATTAAATGCATTCTGTAGTTTTTTGAGGATTAAAATTTCCCATAAATGCATAAACATCCGCAGTCTAGTAATAACTTAAACACTCGCTAATTAGATGCGATTTAATAGATTTTATACACTTTTATGATACGCGTAGGCGTCCGCCATTCCTGTTATAGAATATATATCGCGTGCAAAGGGAAGTAAGGTTGAAGGTGGACGGGAATTAATTGGAAATTACGAAGAATATCGTGGATATCGCGTTCACAGGTGTTCGCGGGAAACAGAATGCGATTTACTCCGGGAGACGTATCTCACTCATAATACATGCCGAACACACAGCACCACGCGTATATATGGTTGTTTTCGTAAACATGGTAGGAATAATTGTCGCGGTCCACGTCCCAGAGACACTGAAAGCCTGCGTGAATGCTTTGGTCGAGACGTTGAGCTATAGTCACTTGCGCCACTATTTTGTACCTTGCAATAAGGATCAATGAATCAGTGTCACTCGGATCGAATCGTTATCGAGGTCAGACTTACAAAAATAAACGAAATACTTGGACAAAATTAAAAAATTTCAAATCGTACTGAAAAAATTATTTTTGATTGCAGAGGTAAATTACAATCATTTTTTGTTAATTAGACATACCTCCGAAATCCTATCTATTTTCGAGAAAAAAAATCGAATAGGTACTAAAATTTTTCGGTGAAAAAAAAATTGTCAAATCGTTCTGGAAAAATTATTTTCGGTTGCGGGGGTCAATTATGATCATTTTTGGTGATTAGACATACCTCCGAAATCCTATCTATTTTCGAGAAAAAAAATCGTATAGGTACAGAAATTTTTCGGTGAAAAAAAATTTTTCAAATCGTTCTGGAAAAATTATTTTCGGTTACGGGGGTCAATTATGATCATTTTTGGTGATTAGACATACCTCCGAAATCCTATCTATTTACGAGAAAAAAAATCGAATAGGTACTGAAATTTTTCGGTGAAAAAAAATTTTTCAAATCGTTCTGGAAAAATTATTTTCGGTTGCGGGGGTCAATAATAATCATTTTTGGTGATTAGACATACCTACGAAATCCTATCCATTTTCGAGAAAAAAAATCGAATAGGTACTAAAATTTTTCGGTGAAAAAAAAATTGTCAAATCGTTCTGGAAAAATTATTTTCGGTTGCGGGGGTCAATTATGATCATTTTTGGTGATTAGACATACATCCGAAATCCTATCAATTTTTGCGAAAAAAAATCGAATAGGTACTGAAATTTTTCGGTGAAAAAAAATTTGTCAAATCGTTCTGGAAAAATTATTTTCGGTTGCGGGGGTCAATTATGATCATTTTTGGTGATTAGACATACCTCCGAAATCCTATCTATTTTCGAGAAAAAAAATCGAATAGGTACTGAAATTTTTCGGTGAAAAAAAATTTGTCAAATCGTTCTGGAAAAATTATTTTCGGTTGCGGGGGTCAATTACAATTATTTTTTGTGAATACACATACACCCGAAATCCTACGTACTTTCGAGGAAAAAAATTCTTTGCCGAAAATACACTGTGTGGCCGGAAATGTAACTTTTTAACGAAGCCTCCTTGATTTTCGTCTTATTTTGGCCTCTAGAATTATTTATTGTAGTTTTATCGGGCTTTGAATAAGTCGACAGAGTTTCTTTTTAATTGTAGAGAAGCTCGATTTGGGAGAGCGTGGATACGATCCGTTAATTTACGATTCGCATCGTTTGCAAAAGAATTTACGCAAGTTTCGAGGCAATTTATATCGCAAAACGTAGGTAGACGCGTCGAGCATTATACTACCTGTCGTAATCCTTCCTGGAAATTGCGTTTTGCAACTCGGATCCAATATCCATGCACAGTTTTGCCATTTCATCCGGCTGATACGACGTCACCGTAGACAGTTTATTCTCCATCACATCGTACACGATTTTATCGACCTCCTCCGCATCGAAGCTGTCGAACGATTCGAGTCGATAGGTGTTTTGGTACTTGGGTATCTGCGAGTTATTTCACCCGTGGGGTAACGGGTACCGCTAATTAATCCGCGTCCCTTCTCCGTTAAGATCTACTCGAGGATCTGTTCCGATAACGTCGTTGAACGTACCTTCAACCGGTCCCCGCGTCTGTGGAAAAACATGCGACTCGCTAACGAACCGATCGTGGAGACCTTTGACGTCTGTCTCCTTCGACTCTGGAACAATATCAGAATCGGTGGACGATACCGGATCGGTGACCCCGATTAACCTAACCCGTCGCGACGATCGGTTATCGTTAATTGACTTCACCTCGACGAACGACGTCATTTTCGTGCTCATCCTTCCCAGAGTCGCTACGGAACGGAACCTCGATTGACGCATTTTGTCGATCATCTTTACTTGCTGTTGGCTCATAATTTCGAAATTAACACCAACGAATTATTCCACCGGAATCGCTATCGCGTGAAAACAGCCGAACAAACGAAGGCTCCTCGCTGAAATTAGGGTTAGATCGCATCGGGAGGTCTGAGTTAGGGAAAATAATAATTGTAAATAACGGGATCAGATTCCTAAGATGGTGTCAAAATTCTTGTAAATTGATTTCCTGTGCTCGATGCGATGTTTATATTCAATTTTCCATAGCCTGGTTAATTCACGGTTTGAACGATACTCTTTATCTCTTCGAATTGAGGGGAGGAAACGTTGCAATTTTTATGCAGACCGCTCGGATCGCGATGCAATTCGCAAACAGCGAACAGCACGTCGCGACGCTTAATTCATATCGAATACAAGATACTTTTTATAATGTAAGAGGCGAGCTTATGTAGCAAGAAACTCTGCGAAGATCTTACGGATATTGCGTTTGCTTGTACATATTTTATTTCAGTTTCCTACGCTCGTTGCTCTTGGGACGGGGAAATTCCTTGAAACGATCGTACCGATTTCGCTGCTTCGCCGTTTCGATTCGACCGAACGGCGCGCACTACATTCTATTCTTTCCATTTAACGACTTTATTCGCGATAAGATAACCGTACAAAAGATCTGGCACAGTTATTCTTTAACATCAAATATAACAGATTTCGTTAGAAATATTGTTAATCGTGATTCCGTTTCTCCCTCTTTCGCGCTCTTAATCAAACATCACGTTCCTTTGATTAACATTTCTGCAACGACCAAGACCAAAAAACAAAGAGTCGAGAGAACGTTTTAAGCATTTAATTTAATAAACGAAACTGCTGTTTTTAAAGCGTACGCACAGATTGAGTGAAACGCTTCCGGAAAACTTTAATCGCTCCGTTCTCCGTACACCACAAACTTTCCACTCTCGAATGACGAGAATACAAACGAAATACAGTGAAACTTCCACGAAACTTTTGTCCCGGTTATAAATATAATAACCGAGATCGTTATAATCGGCAACATTTCGCGACCAAACGTTATTCGCGACCCGAAGGTTTAATAAAGAATGAACGAAGGTACCTGCACGGCACCCAGGCACTGTCGCCAATTGGTAATTCGTAATCCTCTCGACGAGCCGGAAACAAAGTGCACGCCGCGCTCAGAAAATTACGGCCACGTTGTTCAAGCTCGTTAACGTCGGCCCGATAACTCGTTAGACACCGTTGGAAGAAACTTACCTACAGACTGGACGTCTGTATCTTCTCGCGTAACAAATTCACTAAAACTCCCGCTCCCCCCGTCGACCTTACGGCTGCCGCTCTAAATCTCGCGCGAACTTAACTTTCGGATAACAAATGGTGCTCCGAATCGTGTTAAACTCGGAGTCTGCACTACCGTGGGAATAAAAAATACTTTGACGAGAAACTCCCGAATGGGACCATTAATCCTACGGGGGACCAAAGACTGATAACACCTTCGTTCTATTAACAGAACGTACGAAATCCATGGGTTTGTTATTGTCGCGAAATATTACAATTTTTAATGCACGATTCAGCTTTGGTGAAAGCATTAATTTGTCAAAGATGGACGAGAACCAAAGATTACGGCGTCAGGTGATAATATCCGTTCGAAAAGTTCCTCTTCTTTATAAATGATTTATACGAAAGTTTAATAACATCTCTCGCGCAAGTATCACCGAAGGCACTTTCCTTCCAATTAAAAGAGAATCGTATGCACGTTCCCTACCCAGGATTCAGGATGAATTCGACGTTTAATAAAATCAATTTATACGAACGTGTTACGTACAATTTCCAGGTTGACTCGTCGCCAAGTTGCAACGATCTCCTCGCCCCTGGAAATCTTTGCAGGAAATGAAAAAGAACTTGCCGTCGAAAAGTTCTCCTCCGTTCGTTTCAGGTATTCCACGGATTCCCTGGCAATCTCGGCCCGATGCGTTGATGGAGTATTCCAACGTTATCGAGGACCGTTCGCGACGCATCAGGTATTTCAATCTACGAACGACATCGTCCCTTTTTAATTTAAATTCCCGTAGAAGGATTAAGTAGAAGCAATTCGACGCTGGAATGCTTTGCGTTTGTTTCGATTTTCGCGACGCCCAAAGGGGAAAGGTTGCAAAGCGCGCTCCATTCTCCGTTCTCCATTCTCCCGTCGCTTTATGCCCCGCGCGCATTTATACTTTCGAGATCTTGAAGCCGGCTGGGCATTGTGCGTGAATTTGTAGTCCTGGAACTGTGAACAGGATGAAGGCCCCGAAAGCTCGGGACTCCCAAACTCCGTTACCGGTAATAGAAAATGACGATGGAAAGAGAAAAAAACGGTAATCTTAGCTCTGTCAGGTCATTGTGGGTGATCTTTTCCCCGAAAATATTCTGGACCGTGAGGGTGGGTTCGAGCCGCGTCAAAGGGAATTCGCTGGCAACGAAAATCGGCTGGTCGTTAATCCGCAGTAGACGCTAAACTTGGCTAAGCTGTAAGCTTCGAAGGGGACGGGCGACATCGCCCGGTGTCCGTCCAATTTCCAACCGGAATTTCCGGTGATCGTGGTCAGGGGAGCACGCACCGACGGCACAGGGAGAGGGTGGATCGTCCCGGTTTCACATGAATTTACATCGACGATGCGTCCTCGTCTCCGTTTCGCGGCTACCGTCCCCTAACAGATGCTTCTGCGCGATTTGCATAAAATGAGACAGACCACCGGGACCCGTTCGCAGCGCAGGCCGATAGGACGTGTGCGCGAAAGCGATACGCACGACCGAACGGACTTCAGAACTGTGCCCCCCCCCCCCTCCGTTATCGGGAAACGTTGTCCGGATTTAATACCGGTAATCCCGGGGAAATCGTACGGACCGCGTCGTTCAATTATCATTACACGGAAGTTAACTTTCAAATCGGCTCGTGTGCTCCGTTCTCTGTTCTCGAAAATAACCGATCGTCGACAGGGATCCCGTGGAAATTGCGTTCGTTCTACTCGCGGTGGGATCGTTAACCTTTTTAGCCACGGTGTCTCGATTGTTCGTCTCGCGTTAAAAAGTTACGAGAGGGTTTCTCATATTTCTTCATATAGGTTTCTCTCGATACACCACACTGAAGTTTTATTACTTTCAAACTGAAATAAATACATTATTATCAGCCTCCGAGGAACTTACAATGTGCACATTTTTCTGGTATCGTCGATAGCGTTTTGACCGATCGAATAGTAGAAATGAAGAAGTTCCTTGATGTTTCTCTTTCCCGTGCGGTACGTTTGCTATGATAAACATTAGACGATTATCTTTTCTACCGGTTCTCAGTTGGAAAGAAGGGACGGTCTCCGTAAAAGTTTGCGAGCCAAGAAACGTTTTGTCGCGGCTGGGGTGAATTCCGCGTCCCCGTGTCGACGTAGATCTGTCAAAAAAAGTGTCAAACATTCGGCAGATGGGTCGTTGAGTGCACCATCGCGCTCCGGTAGACCGATCTATCAATCTCTAAATAGCATGTTTGGACTGAACCCTATTTTAGAAGCTACCCTTCGAACCGATAGACGCGGAAGAACGTTTTCTAATATTAAAAAGACGAGGCTGACGAATATTTACGTTTTCGTGGGAACATTGACAGACCGCCGTCGACCCGGGGATGAAGAATTCAGCCGCGATAAACTGTTTCCCGACACCCTGGTGACCGATAAAAGAATGAACGAGTAAGAAGCAACAAGAGGTATCGTGTCCCTTGTCCGTGCAAAGGAACCGCCAAATATTTATTGTTCTAGAGGAATGTTACACAAGAGATCCGACGACAGGATCGTAACGACGGAGCGACGTTATGGTATTCCCCTTGCACGATGCGCGTTCGCAACGGCTCGTCTATCCACGGATAGTAAAATATTTCGTAGCCGAGTTTCTCGGTTCATAGAAAATTCAGTTCGCGCGATAAACGCCGATGCTCGTAAATCACACATCGAGTCCCCTTCGATATATCACTTTGGCGAGCCACTGGTAAAGCGATCGTGGGCGCCGGCGTTGAAAACCCTTCGCGGAAGGGCCACCGGGGGCCGAGAGGCAGAGAAACGTCGCTCACCGAAATATCGCGTCCACCAGGAGCACCAGGCTGAATAAAATCGCTCTTCTGTTGACGTTACCGGTGCCGCCGTGTTGCATCGCTGCAGGATGTTCACCTAAAAAGAAACTCCGTTCACGAGGTCTGATCTATCGCGGCGATTCGCAAACTGGGACACTCTGGAAGGGTGTACGAGGAGCGGGCGGAAACCGGTGACAAGGCGGGAGGGGTAGAGACGTCGAGGGCCCTTAAAATAAAAGAAGAAAATTAAATTTACTACTTCAACGCTTTGCCCCCGTACGGGTGATTCGCGCGTAAAGTTTTCCTCGTACGTTCCACGACAATGTATTCCTACCCTTCCGGTTCTAGCGACGAAAATAAATCCGTAATCAATGTCACGCGTTAAGTGTTATAATTGGATGGTGCCCGGGGAAAAGGACAATCCTCGAAGCATCGCTCGAAAATGTTGCCGGGGCGAACGAGATTTACATAACGAGAGAACCTCGTCGCGGTTTAATTTCAATTCCGCGGGTTGTTTTTCGTTCTCGAGATTTCCGATGCGTTCGTCGCGCGTTAACGAGAAAACCGTAACGAGTTTCGCGGCTGGTGACAATTGGTATCAGGCGACCGTTCGAAGGAACGAGAATTCACGAATTATCGAACGCTCCTGGGTTCGTCTTTTTTTTTTTTATTTTCTCGATCGTGTGTACGATAGCGCTCGTCGCAAACGAAATTCTGTTGCACAAACCTCTTTAATCGAGTCTAAATTCAAGGACAGGCGGTACGAACGGACAGAAGGTAATTCTACGCGTTAGAATCGGTCGAAAGTGCTGAATAAAATTCTTTCGTATAATGCTTCGTTTACAAGATAATTGAATTTGAAAATTTATCGGGCACGGGTGCGATTGAATGCGATTTGTCTGCCGCGTCTGGCCATTATTCACTATTTCTACTTGCGCCGATGCTCAAGTAGTAACTCCATTGCACGCGTACCCGATGAGTTCTCAAAATCGATTTTATCGAAAACGGAGCACCGTACCAACAACATTTTCTCCCGTATTTTCGACTCACAGCAAGCATCGCATACTTGGAATACCGAAATATCTGAAATATATACAACAAATATTCAATGGAGATTTAGTGTAGATCATTCAACCTACTCGTCTGTATATTAATTCTATATTAGAACGGGAATGTGAAATTTTCGGAACACCGAAAATTAAGGTAATTTGAAAACTTCCAAAGCGTGGCTACGCTTTTCAGCGGCGTGAAATACAACGAAGACAAAAGGGGAGAGAAATGGTCGCCATGTTTCATGCGTGAAACGCGTACACGCTGAATACATGCCGGTGACACTGGAAATTACACCTGCGACTAAATTTTAAAACAAAGACGATCGTTCCCGCGCTATGATTTTTGCGTCTAATTGGATCGTAGGAGAAAATAATTATATTCTTGGACGAGCGCTACTGTAGCACGAGACGATCGAGAGTGCTTCGAGGCAATTTCTCCCGACGAGAATATTTTGCAAAATGCGCTTTATCGCGTTGACTGTTGCATTACCAGGACACGGATGACGGGTAAAATCCATGGGGGGCCGTGTCGCTCGACTACGTGGAAGTAGAATATTACGTGAAAATTCTCGAATTCCGTGGAATCTCGTCCTTTAATAATATTTCAACATTTTTGCTCGAATCTAAAAGTCTGGCTCTGTGGACAATTTATACTTCGCTAGCCCTTTCATCGTTCGAGCTTAATATTCATTGAGCAGGACAGAATATTGAATTATAAACAAAAAATGTGATAGGATCGGTAAAGTGGACGAGAGTCCCATCTACGGTGGACGGAAGTTCCGATTGTTCCACGATTGCTTCTCAGAATTTGTTTCGTATTATTATCAGAGTTCTCTTGGAGAAATTTCGTCCACTGTATCTGGCGGATTCGACGGAATAAAGCGAGTTAACTTAATCGAGCGTATTTCATCCTCACCGTTCAACACGTGAATCATCACGCTCGCCGAGGCAACCTTGCTCGAGACGCACGTGTAATTGCCGCTGTCATTGAGCAGCGCGCGAGTTATTAGCAGCTTGCTGGTCGTGCCATTCTTACCTTTCTCCGTTTCCAGGGAAACACCGCCCCTGTCGAACGCAAAGACATTATTAAGGATTTCTATAACGGTCCACGGACAAGACGTATACGCAACGAGAAGTTTTCTTTTTTCTGCGTTTTGAACCGTGCACAAGGAGCAAGGTGAACGAGATAGAAACGACAAAGAGATTTTACGCGTTGAAACAGGACGCACCTTGGACCGTCGAAATCGATCACTGCACCGGCATGGTACCAAGTCACGTTATTCGGGGGAATATCCTGTATGTCCACGATGCAAGTTAAACTGATCGTGCTACCCTTCTTGACGTACACCTCTTCGGGCCCTGTAATCTTCGCCTGCACGTCTGTTTCGACGCGAGCGAAATGACACGGATAAGCCATCGTGCGTTTAAATTGCGATACTACGGTAGATAGCAACGGTACTCCCTCGCTTATTGCAACGATCCAAGTTACAAACACTTGCGATCGAGTCGTACCGCTTGGACTCGTTTAGATAACTCAGTTATTGAAATCAAAAGACACCTTTCATAGGTGTGTTCGAGATATACGATTGCAAGAAGAGAGATAGTGCCGTGTAACGATTTAGTTCACCTTTCCAATCGTTTATGAATCGTCGAAATTGATAGAGAGTCGAGGTTTAACGTTAAATTAAATTACACGGGCGCGTGTTGAAAAACTATTCCCAAAAGGCAGCGTATTTTAGCAGGCCCTCAGCCTCGCTAAACCCCTTAAAAGTTTCACGCGTGGCGAAAGCATGGAGTGCTCTAAATTTCATACAGACCGAACAACCGTACCGTCCCGAGCCCGCGGTCCGCGCGTCCCCCAAAAAGAGCATTTTCCGCGTTAAACGAATGCAAACATTCAGTTTCAGGAATGTCGGGGCGCGACAGAAACTCACCCAAAACTTTCAATGCGACCGCCCTACATATCTTGGGCTCTGTATTAACTTGACACTCGTAAATGCCGGCGTCCCGTGGTTGCACGTAATCTATTCGCAGATTCCAGTCGTCGTTCTCCGGATTGCCGACTATCGTAAATCTTGCGTCGCTCGTATAAGTCACGGACTTGGACGTTAGGATGTGCAAGTCCTTTTTTCGGATCCAGGACACCTGGGACAAATTTCAAGTCACACACGGGACACGCGCCCGATCGCGCGGGTCACGTTAAACGATATGCGGCGCCGACTTATGTACAGCTCGACAACTTTGAAACGATCCCCGAGGGGCGTGGCCTCGGCGTAAAGGGGCTGGGCGACGGGAACGGAGCCGTGGAATGCAAAAGTTTTGACGGGAGCGTATCTCGTATTATCTTTCGGGTAAAAATCACCGTTTCATCCGTCAAAGCTTTTGCACGGAATAAAAAGAAATAATTGAATTATCGGTAGAAAGGATCGTATTGACCGTACGCGTTAATGTTTATTGACAACCGGGGGGGCGGCGTGAAAACGAGAAACGCACGGGATGCGGCGCGTCGATCGTTTCGCCATTAATCAAAGAAATCAGAAAAGCGTGCGCGATTATTTCGAAAACAGTTACTCGATACCGGCGGCGTTTTATGCCGGGTGCCAGAGCGAACAATTCTTCACGGTTTTAATTAACAACAACTTGAACGCCCGCGCCTGATAATTCCGCGTCGAGCGAATTCTATGTTTTCGCGTTCAACAATCCCGAGCGTTTCATTCGTCTTTTGCGGGGATATTTTCATTCCCGAGGGACGCCAATGAAACTCGACAAAGTCCACCCCTCTTATAAAATTCATATTGCGGAACATTTTTGCTATCATCTCTTTTAACAAATCGCGTATTCGCGGGTATTATACTAATCTTATTAAGACCGAACGTAGCGTTACTCTTATTACACAGCATACGTTCGAATTAAAAACATTGCAAAATGCATCGAACGATATTTTTTATCGAGATCAACTCGATCCTTTGTACCTTTTAATTACTTCATAGGTTGTTGGAAATATTCAAAAATGCTGAAATAATCGAAGAGGTAGAGATGGGTTAGGCATAGGGTTTCGAGAGCGCGATCGCCAGGAATTATTGCGTGCCACGTACGATTTCAACGGAACCGTACGTGACTCCGATTCACGAAATATTTGCCAAGGTTCCACACCCTAAATTTCTGATACGGCCAACATCGCGATTACAGTTACGAGGATCTACTCTTTCGCCGGAGTATATAACGTCGGGATTCTAACTGGGTAGCCGGTGCCAGGATATTCTTGCAATATTCCACGCGATACGGTTATTAAACTCTTTCCACGGAACTTTGTTCAAACGTAATACGGGTAGGGAGCTCTTGACAAGACAACAAAAGGAAAAAGGCTGAAAGGGATAAGGAGGGAACGAGAGGGTGGAAATAGTTATGATACCGCGACTCGTTTCCGCCTTTTTCTTCGATCATTTAAGGGGGAAGTATACTTCGTACGGCGCGGCGTTATCTCGTGGAAATCCAATTGTACGAGCAACGTTACTTTCCTGGACTAGCGACTCGTTATTATCGTTTCGGGAACTTCTAACGAAATCGCGAGGCGTGCAAGGTGTATCGCGGAACGAAAGGAAGATTAGCCCCGGTAAGGAATTGCCGAGTCGGGGTCAAGAACCGACCGTAAATTACTCGTTGCTGCTCGTATTCTATTTATCCGTGGTACCGGTCTCTCTTTGATTTAAATATTTCGTACAATACGGCGGCGAGTATCTTCGCGAAACCGAAACTTTTGTCCCGTGCCCCTATTGTGTAAATAAACGTAGCTACCGTTTCTGGCGACGTGGCCTGTAGAAACTGGGTAAACTGCCTTTAAAATAAGTCTGACCGTTCCGAAACAATCGCGAGTCCATCGAGCCTGAACGAGTTTGATATGGTTTGGAGTACGCTATTATTGTCGTCGGGTAAAACGCAAAACTCACGGTTCTGTTGCCCAGGTTCCTAACGCGGCACAACAGCACAACGGTTTGTCCCACAATGGCGGTCACCTTTTGGGACGTGTCTTTGAAAAAATAAGTCCTTTTCGTCCCTCGATGCGAGCGTTGTTCCGCTTTGTCGAGCTTCTCGTCGTCGAGCCGTTGCACCGCTAAAATTCAGGTATCACACGCTTGAACGAGCCACCGGGAAGCTTTCGTATCCGTCGCGTTTTGTCAACGAAACTGCTTAATACATCGATATACCACGCGAAACACTTTCGAGAACAACCTTCGAAACTGATGGTGTACCTTTTGTCAAATTTCGGGGGAAAAGAACAGTGGTACACGAGTTTCGAATGGTCGAGAAATTGGAAATTGGGCATCGCCGTTTTCAAATTCTGTTCTACGGGCAACTAGTCGATTTGAAGGTGAAACGTTTACTTAATTTTAAACAAACCATATTAATATATATATTATAGATTCTATAGATCCAGAAGATGGGATTAAAACGATAAGCTTGCTCTGAAAAGTTCGAAACGGGATAGCATTAATTTGCTCGCTAAAATTTTGTTTAAAATATTCTGCTCACATCGAATACGAATATCGTTTGAAAGGATCGTTTAATCGTTGGCTGTTGCCCGTATTACGTTAATTTATATCAACGGTGATTCAAGAAATTTTAGCGTCGTTGGATTACCATTTTGATCCGACCTCGTTCGCCGGATAACTCTTCGTTTCGTTAAACGAGGTAAACGCGACGCGCAGTAACCGGTTCCATCCGATCGTTAGAAGTTAATAAGAAACGATCTTGGGGGGGAAAAAATCGAAAGAAATCGGTAGGACGACGCGGTACCCGTAAATCTGTACACTTTGACAGTGGTTGTACCTAGGTTCCGATGACCGGACGGCGGTTCGGCGTGTAACAGGTACCCGATTCCAAGCAGTATAAGGGCCATGCCGTGGAACGGTGCCATTTTTTTACGCACGAGACTCTTTCATTTTCATTCGCTACCCCTTCTGTTTCCCCGCGATTCCCAGAACTCTCCGAAATCAATCGGCGGCTGCACGATCATCCCTCGACGATTTCCATTCCACGTCGTACGTCTCGCGACGAGTTCCCTCGGCGTGTCCGCGTAACCGATCTCTTCCCCCGACAGCGAACGAACGTATGTTGCACCCACGACGTTTGAACGTTTACGCACAAAAGCGTTACTATACATTTCTTGCCGATCCCGGGACAACGATCACGATCGTCGAACAAACAGAATCCTCGATCAAAGCGGAGGGACGCGTCGCTCGATTCATCGCGTTTAACGAGCGACCATTTTCGATCGAAAGACGAACCGATACTTTTGGCGAACTTCTAAATTATTTTTTTTTTTTTCTTATCGAAACGAAGAGTCCCTCCGATACTTTTTTTTAATTCGTAAACGGCGCGAAAAGTCGTACGCGTCTCGTGGTACGCGAACGTTTTCGACGCTCGATCATCGGAACTACGGCGATGGGAACGGCCCCGGGAACAGCGCGCTTCGACAGCGTTCGAAATACTGAAAGCTGTTCGGAGAGGAAACGAAAAAGCTGCAATCAGGGTGCAGTGGCGCCTCGCGATGCTCCCGATAGTTGCGATTGCGCCGACAGCTCGACGGTGTTCTTATCGTCCTTATCTAACTTGGACGTTCGTCGCGACTGCAATTTCGCCGTCTCGGTTTCGCTTTATCGGAGGGGCGATCCTTATTGCATCGTTATCGCGTTAAACTTTGTCAAGACGCCCCCCCCCCGGGGAAAATTTAACCACTCGATCGAAGGGTTTTGAAGACACGTACAGGGTGCCCCCGTGCAACCGGGAGGAAGCTGCGTCTTTAAAACTAAATAATTCGTACGCATTGGCGCAATTAAAAATGCAACATTTCCCTCGAAGCGAACGGACAAAGCTTGTATCATTTAATTTCAACAAAATCAAGGTTGTAATAATTCCATACCCTTATGAACAATATAAATATGTATATTATCATTTGCTATATAAATTTTCTAAGAACATAATCGGTAAATGATTGTACGCATACACGTAGAGGAATATATTGTATCACCGGATAAACGACAAATATATGGTACCGTTAAGCACGCATAGTACTATTCTAATTCCCATATTTCCCATACTCGTTCAGGTACATTATATAATACATTATTACATGTAAACTTATGTAAAACTTTGCATCGTATACGGATGCATAACTAAATAAAATTTGTACGTTGTAACAATCGAATCAATGGTAAAATATGTAAATGCAAGAGCACCAAGTGTTGCGTAATATAATACCGAATACTCTGGGTATACGACACTCGTACAAACGGTAGAAAGATATTCAATCCCTATAAAAATCACCCTTTGTACCGCCAGTTTTCGAAACCAACTCTACGTCGCTTATTTTCATCGAGTTCGGGGAGGCCGCGTATTTACACATGTCGTAAACTGTTAATGCAGCGATAGCCACGGCCGTTAAGGCCTCCATTTCCACGCCAGTCTTTCCGGTGCATCTGACTTCCGCCGTGATCTCCACTCGATGCAATTCTTCGTTCAAACGTAATTGCACGTTTGCGTAGGATAACGAGAGCGGATGACACAACGGTATCAAATCTGGCGTGCGTTTGGCACCCATAATGCCTGCCAATTGTGCTACGGACAGCACATCCCCCTTCTTAACATTATTTTTGGCTATCAATTTGCTTATAACCGAATCGACCTGAACGAATCCTCTCGCTATCGCGATACGTTTGGTTATGGCTTTCGAACCGACGTCCACCATGCTCGCTTTGCCACTTTCGTCCACGTGCGACAGCGAGGAGAACATTCTTACGCTCGTGCAATTCTGAAACCGAAAAACCGCGCGCCCGAAATATTCACGCCGCGCGTTCTCTCGCCAATATTTATGTCTTCCGACGTATACGCGTTTCTTTTCAACTGCAAGCACAAGTAATTGATATCAAACCTTCCGGACTTTATAAAAATAAAGATTCTTGTTAATTAGTAACAGATCGAGCGATAACGTTTGTACGCATACTGTCGGAAAATCAATGTTCTATATACTAATAGGATACTTCCGTAACAATCGACTATCCCCCGATCAGTATCATCGGTCTGTTTTCCATCTGGGATAGATTGAACATTCCTGAAACACACACGTTATCGAGAACATAGAAACGTTATCGCTACAAATGTAGCATGCAAGATAATATAGTGTTTGCGGATTAAGGATAAAACGTACCGGCGTGCTGTTTCTTTTTACGTCGCACCGCGGTGCCGATCATTTCTTTCAAAACGTCGTCGGACGCTCCACTGCGTAAAGCATCCCGAAGCGACACCTCTCCTTCACCCTCGAACAAACAGACCTTTAAATTTCCATCCGCCGTAATTCGTAATCGGTTGCACGAGCTGCAGAAATGCTCGCTCATCGACGTGATAAATCCGATTTGCCCTACAAATCCAGGGACGTGGTATGCCTATTCAGAAGAGATACTGTTCTTTCAACGACATACATATCAAATTAAATTCTATTTTAAGTATAATCTTTTAAGCTCTACACACTTTAGAAGTGTTGTTGTACTCGTTCGGAAGACGTCGAAGTTCGGGATACGTATCTCTAATCATTTTTTTCATAGTATCGAAGGAAACCATTTTATTTTCATTCCATTTATTCCCTTGAAAGGGCATATATTCGATGAAACGTACATCGACCGGGCGATCTTTCGTTAAGTTTACAAAATCAACCAATTCGTTGTCATTAAAACCTTTCATTACCACGCAGTTTATCTAAAAAAATACACGTATAAAAGTTACTTATATCTATGAATTTTAGCATGAAGATTTTTCTTAGCATTTTCTCACCTTTGTAGGATTATAACCCAATTGGATAGCCAAGTCTATCGCGGCTATAACTCTAGGCCAACCCTTCCTACGGGTAAACTGCTCAAAACGATTTTCTTTCAATGTATCTAGTGAAATATTTATTGCATCTAATCCTGCTCGTTGAAGGGATGGTAACTGACGTGGTAATGTTAAGCCATTGGTAGTAATGGCAACCTGTTTCAAGCCAGGTAACTGTTTCAAGCCGGCTGTAATAATTATTTTCGTTGTATCAAGGATTTAAAGGGCAAAAAATGGAAGGAAGAAAATTATTTACCAATAATATCTACAATATCTTTTCGAACTGTTGGTTCACCACCTGTTAAACGTATTTTATGTACACCCTCCTTTACAAATAGTTCAGCTACTTTAATTATTTCCTCTATTGTTAAAATATTTTCATTCTTTGTCAGCTTAACTCCTTCTGCCGGCATACAGTACAAACCTGTAATAAATGTAACATTTTGATAAATTGTTCCATTTAAAATTGTAAATATTGCTTACATCGAAGATTACAACGTTCCGTGACAGAAATACGCAAATAGGTATGATGCCTTCCAAAAGAATCCGTGAGTATGTCATTGTCGCTGTTTTTATTTAATAATTCTCTAAACCGCTGCACCTGTAATAACACCATTAATAATAACAATAACAAATATACAGGTTAGGTTCATTTAAATATATATTACTCATAGCAACAATCCAGCATATGGTGTGCACAATATATTTATGTAATCAGCTATGCAAACTTTAACATGTTATTAGTAATTTATTGTTAGCACTTTGCATAATGATTACACGTACATTTCTATTTACTATAAAACACACTTACTCTGGGTGATGCATTTGGTGCAGTGAATGCCTCTGTAGATGAATGCACAGCACTCAAAATCGCTTTAACGGTGTGTACCTTCCGAAACATTTAAATAACACGTGACAAGTGAAAAAGACAAGAATTTGTAACCCCTACGTGCAATGAGAAATGTTCTATATAATACTGTTCCTACATAAAAAGTGAAAAACTTATAGAAATTATCTCCCAAGATGGGTGCCGTTAAGTACTCATCTATTCGGTAGCTTTATTAGAACTGTGTTATATGTTGTGCCTGCAAACTCATTCTTGGAACAGCGACGACGATCGCTTATCCGTGTCCTTGAGCTTGACAGAACCATCATTAAGATAACTCGTATCAATCTAGCAGCTTGTGCATGCTTCAAATTTCAATAATTTGCCACGTAAACTATTGAATAGTGCATTGTATATATTTTCTAGACTCCAGTGCCGACTCAAGCAAAATGGCGCTAAACGACGGTTTCATGCCCATCTCCCTCCACATTTGATTATGATATTTGTCGCTGAAATCTAGAAATTAAGATAACTCGTATCAATCTAGCAACTTGTGCATGCTTCAATTTTCAATAATTTGCCACGTAAACTACCGAATAGTGCATTGTATATATTTTCTAGACTCCAGTGCCGACTCAAGCAAAATGGCGCTAAACGACGGTTTCATGCCCATCTCCCTCCACATTTGATTATGATATTTGTCGCTGAAATCTAGAAATTAAGATAACTCGTATCAATCTAGCAACTTGTGCATGCTTTAAATTTCAATAATTTGCCACGTAAACTACCGAATAGTGCATTGTATATATTTTCTAGACTCCAGTGCCGACTCAAGCAAAATGGCGCTAAACGACGGTTTCATGCCCATCTCCCTCCACATTTGATTATGATTTTGTCGCTGAAATCTAGAAATTAAGATAACTCGTATCAATCTAGCAACTTGTGCATGCTTTAAATTTCAATAATTTGCCACGTAAACTACCGAATAGTGCATTGTATATATTTTCTAGACTCCAGTGCCGACTCAAGCAAAATGGCGCTAAACGACGGTTTCATGCCCATCTCCCTCCACATTTGATTATGATATTTGTCTCTGAAATCTTCCTTCTACTATTGTCTATTTATATGATTTTATTGTACTATTTATCCGGATGCAACTGTGGACCTGCTATTAGATCATAATAAATAATAATAAACATTTTGCCATCAATTTGATACGTATAGAAAACATGGTTTGTTGGCATCGAACCGCAATGCCAGAAGACCACTTCGCGTTTTCATTATCAATTAGCAGACTTAATCCGATATAAGTCTCCCGTATTAAATGTACTAATGACAAATACTCATTTGTCTGATCCCCCTTGTATCACTTAATAAACAGATATCGATAAAATGATAGACAGAGATAAGAAATTGCAGAGGATTAAACATAAACGTTCTTCGATACGAATTTCGAAATATAACGAAGCAACAAAAATAGTATAAAATTAATACTTTTTTTTGATCGGTCAAAAATATATACTTTTTTCGTCAGTGATTGACTAACAAATTTAATATACATATTTTGGGGGGTGTAATATATTACTCGTACAGACCCTTGGCAACATTCAAGGACCAATTTTGCAACGCTCCTCGCTCTAATTAATTAGTTATTAGCGATAGATCCCTAAGACTTTCGATATTGGTTAATGACTATTTACTAAGGTTCCAACAGGTATCCTTGAATATTGCCAAGGGTCTATACTATATTCTTCAATTCTAAAAGTTCATATTTTAATACCAGAAAAGGGTAATTAGTGAATATAATCAAGCTACTGCGTAATAGGAGTACCAGGAGTAGGGCAACCTGTACTACGAATGCCTCCTTTAGTATTCTGTGATCCTGGCACGATTTTAGCAGTTCGAATCCCTGATATTAGATGGCGGCAGGTATTTTTCGCATTTTTTAGCACAATGACTAAAATAACTGTCGCTTTCAGTAATCATTTATAACTTATTAATTAGACGAAGGAATGTATAGAGAAATGGTTAAAGAATAACCATTACATTACATTAGTTCACGTATCTATTGTTTGTCATTACTATGAGTTTGACAACGATGCATTGAAGTGTTATTGTTTACATACATTTAACACATAACCTACGAAAAAATAAAATACGACTCATCAACGATTGTAACAGTACGAATTTAAGAAGACATGTCTTTGTTTCCGGCTTATTCCGGTGACAAGGATGAATCACCTAATTCCAATAAGTCGGAAAATCTTTTAAAAGGTTACCAAAATCGCTTATTAGAAATCATTATATATTACGATATTGTTTTTATTATAATGAACTTATTGTAATTTATAGAAGATGAAGCCAGCTGGTTACACAATGTTAGTTGCCTAGAACGTATATCATCAAAGAATATTGTTGATGTTCCTTCGGATTCTTCGGATGAAACTGTAAACAAAGCCTCTGATTTAGATAAACAACAGGTATCATGCAATACTACTTCTTTGAATAATGACAGTCGTGTACAGGAAGAAAGAAAAACATTGAAATCTGTCAGAAAGAGGAAGTTAGAGAAAAGAAAGCATGCCCATGAAAAAGCAAAAAAACCAGAATATAAACGAGAAGTGGAGAATGTATATTTTGAAGATAAATACAGAGATAAGGGGAATAATACTGTAAAGACACTTTGTTCTAGAGTAAGGCCATATTATGATGTTGAAAAAAGTACCCTTGGTTTTGTTTCATTCAAGCAACCAAAAAAAGATAGTTATGAGAGGTATTACATTAGAAACATTGATTCTGTGGACAGAGCTAAAAAGAAAGATAATGTTATTAGAAAAGATTCTACTACCAATTCGTTGGAAAAAGATGAAAGTACACCTTCATGGTGTGTTAATTTAGAAGAATTACAGAAAAATAAAATTAAAGAATATAATGAAAGATTAACAGACAATCCAAATAATATTGATCTATGGGTTGAATATATTGAATTTCAGGTATATACTCTAGCTATTAATTTGTTCAAAGTTATTAATACTTATATAATTACACTAATGATATCTTCCAGGACACATTGAAATACTTCCAAAAATATCAAACTACGAAAGATGTTTCTCGGGCAACAACGTTAAAAAAGTTATCTATAGTTGAGAAAGCTATAGAAAAAAATTTGGAATCTATAGAATTGTTAAAATTAAAATTGTCTTTGATGGGAGAGCTCCTTCCAGCTGATGAACTTTCAAGACAACTAGAAACATTAGTTAATAAGGACTCAGGAAACATTGTTCTATGGCAAGAATTTATCATGGTTACACAATCTTCAGTAGCAATGTGTACTGTACCAAAAGTTTTAGATCTATACTCGAAATGTTTTTGTATTCTAAAACAAAAAGCTAGGACAAATCCTCGTATATTTGACGAACGATTATTGCGTACGTAACGAATTATAAATTGTACCAAACTGTTATTACATTGAGTCAAATGAAAATAATTAACTTATTATATAAATAGAAATGCTGTACTGGTGCCTAACATTTCTAAGACATACCGGACTTTGGGAACAAATGTGGGAAACGATACGTTTGAATCTCTGTTTGAATCTTAGTTTAAGCAAAGACAGTCTATCCTTTCGAAAAACAATAGATGAAAAAAAATTAAGTACGAAATATTATAATCGATAACAGAACGGAAAAATAGTATGTTATTAATCTTAATATTACTATTAATCTCTAGTTGGAATGGAAGAGGTAATACTGATATCCAGACTACCACTGAATCAGTTATGGCAAAGAACAGAATCGTTAAGAGAAAATTGTCATTGGATCAGTGTCACTAGAGATGAATTAGAATTAGCTGGTGATTCTCGAAGATTCGTTTTGCCAGATGATGTCGCGGATTTTGTCCATCCCATACTTTCGCGAAATTTGAATTTTCGAATGGCGATACATGCGCTACTTTTACTCAAAGTACCACTTCTACCTACTCGAGACTATATATTAGAGGTATGCATACGAATAAGGTGTCTATATCTTCTACTTCATAGTGTAGATCAATAGTATTGTATATTTTCAGATGTTATCTTTAAAAGAATTTGAATGGGGAATAGAAACTTCGGAAGTGTTACTTCCGTTCGCCTATCCTGTAGCAGGTGAAATGACTGGCCATAGTCAAAGGAAGCAATTATTGCATGGCATACTCGAAGGAGGTATAACATCAGGTCCTCAGTACCTTATGTTTCATCCTGCGCAAGAGTCGTACTTAGATTTTATACGCGAAATGTTTTTTACAATTGCCGAAAATTTACCTGCCCCGCAACGTACAAGTATATATATTTGGTGGTTAAGATTTGAAAGGTTGCTTATTTTTCTTCGCAAAGACGAATCTTTAAAATATGACAAAAAGTAAGACTCCTTTTACTTTATTTTTCATAACTAATAGACTCGCATGATATGCATGTTGGATATTTTTTGCAGGGGGAAAAAGTTAAAAACGATATTAAAGAAATTCGTGAAGAAAAAGGAATATAGAAATAATTTACATTTCTACAAAGAGTATGCATTGATAGCAAAAGAATTGGGAAGATTCGATAATTGTGTGAATATTTTGGAAACAGCGATTCAATCTCAAGGTCCCTGCCCTTCGGCAATTCCCAATTTTGATGAAAGGGCCGCACTCTTCAGCTTGTATCGAACGTTTATCGAAACTTTACTCAACTCTGATACATATAAAGAAACACATAAAGAGCGAATATTGAATACGATTAAACAAATGATACCTGATGCAGGTGAAAATCAATTAGAACTCGTATCAGAATATTTAGAAAATAGTATAAAAAGTTTCTTGCAAGAAGCCCCTATGGAAGATGATAAAGACACATACTTTTTACCAAATTTAAAGTGCGATACAATTGTATGTTACGCATACCTTTTGTACATACAACATTTCGATATTGGTAAAATAATGAGCATATTTACAGAGTCCATAAATCATTACAAGGGGTGTCGTTACACACAGGTACTATATTTAAATTTTCATATTTAAGACAGAAATTTCATCATACATATCCTGTATTTATTCCAGGAAATATTATTTGAAAGTCAACTCGCACTTTTACAACTATATTGCAAAAAGACTCAAGAAATAAATATTTTAAAAACCGTGTTAGATGATATGTTAAATTCATATCCAAATAACGTTTTTGCCCTTTCGATATTAGCGTGCATAGAGGTAAACATAACTACAAAGAGAGTATTTTATAAAGTATCAAAATTTTAATTGTAATATTTCTCGAACAGAGTGAATTACCAATTTGGAAATTTAATAGTCAAAAGACAAAGCTTGAATTATGGAGAGCATTTGCTATGTGTTTAGCAAGTCGTAAACGTATCCATTTCTTAAAGGAGCGTAACGACTCTGTCAGTATGAATGCAGCAATAAATAAATTATTACATTTTCATCAAACTCTCACAAGGTACAATTTCAATTAATTTTTTTTTTTATACTTGATATGTAAACGTGGAAAAAAGTACCATTAATTTACAGAGTACCGACAACTAGATGTTGCCCACTATTATGGAGATTATACATGCTTCTTCTCAGAGAATACAATTTATGCGAAAAGAAAGGAGAAGATGTATATCATGAAAGTGTAGCACAATGTCCTTGGGCCAGAAGTATCTATATTGATGCGGCTGAAGTTGCACCTCAAATTCTTACCCAAGTTCAAGATGTAATACGAGAAAAAGAATTGAGAATGCACGTTACACCCGAAGAATTAGACATCTTGCGCGGCTAATGTTAATTATCATTTCAAATTTTATGTAAATAACAAGAGATTATATTAACTTAAAAGACATGGTTCATAATATAGTTAGACATAGTAATTACTATATAAAAAAAAGAGGTAAATAAAGCTAATATAATAGCAGTAATAAATAATCTTTCTTTTTCGAACTATTCGAATATGTAAGACAACTGGCGCCAGTGTGGCCATCGACGGCGACACTAGTAACGACGAACATCCTCAGCGTCTAACAGAGGCATGTTACGTGAGCTCTGTACTTTACATTGATGAAATACACGTTTTAAAACCCCCTGACCATGTTTTAACTATTGAAAAAAGACATTTTTTTATTATTTCTATGAACGAGCATACGTACCTATACATATAGCTCGAAACGTAGAAATGCCCGGGCAGTCCAGATTCGAAATTGCGCGCCATTGACGCGAGGACGAACTTCAGCTGTTGTAGACCAAAAAGGAAAGGTTCCCATTCTCGTCCTTTATCGATTTTCTGAAGTTGCATGGAGTGCTGACCACGCATAACATGTTGATCTTGCGGTAGGATTTGGCGGTTTTTCCCACCACTCTGTTAAACGTTAAAGAAGTTCGTCGTTACTAGTGTCGCCTTCGATGCACTCAATTATGCCAAATCTGGCAACACTGTCCCTTCCATTCATTTCAAATACACATAATATTAAAAATATAGAATCTCCCAAGGGGTTGTAATTAAACATTATTTCCATTAGTATTAGTTTTTTTACTGCAACAGTTTGTAACAACATTGAAAGTTCTGTAACTATATAAAATTTTATTAAAAATCACCTTCCTGTGTACGCGGTAAACGAAAGTATTGTACTATATTACGAGATCACCGAAAAGTATGAACTATAAACTAAGAACTGATAGCTCTTTCATAATTTATGAAAACTGTATCTTTTTTCTCGAGAACTATTGATGAATTTTTTTATTAAAAATGACGCCTATTTTAAATTTTTTTTTTCGAATGAACAAGATTCAACATATTAACCATATGTCCCCATTGCACGCATTTCATACTACACATACGAACATTGCTTCTGTGGTATTTTATAGAAACGAAATAATTTATAATTTAGCAGATAACGTTGAAAAGATAGCTGGTAGAAAACAGTTCTTAATAGTTTTGCATTGTATATTTGATGCATTTTTCATTTGCAAAAAATATTTCTTGGTGATCTTTCGAATATTATGTTTTGTATATAAATTTTAATTTTGTGTTCGATCGAATTACAATGCATATGAAGTTATTGTGTAATGTTAATTGCGAATATAAACTCTAAAAAGTCACTAATATTTTGTTAAAATCACACTTGCGTCTGTTCTATGCACGATGTGGTTTATGGTAACCGAAGGTGTGCACATACATTAGTATGTAAGAACTTAATGAATTACTGCAAATCTTATCAAAGTATCAAATGATATTGAAGTTGTTATAATAATGTTTAGTGAAAGGTTATTGTTTTACGTGGCATAATGAAAACGTTGTAATGCGATAATATCGTCATAATCGGATAACTCTTTCTATGAATCATATTTCAGTAAACAGGTAATTCAATATGCGGTACACTCCGCTGCAGTTTATCATGATCGTATTGTAAATAGTTGTTTCATGTATGCGGTATAATGTCACGTAATTTTATGTTACAGTGGTTTGGAAATTTATTTACAAAGTATTCGTATTCTACTCCTTGCGTGAGTTGCCATCAATTATGTTATATTTATTAAATATAAGTTTGATATAAATTATATGATAAAATTATGAATATAGCATCTACAATGACAACACCTATGTGCGAAGATGGTGGCCCTTTGAGAGAATGGGCTCCCCTTGCTAATCTTCTTCAACAAATACCAGCCAAAATTCAAAATGGGCTATTTACACATAATATTAACTTCACCTGCATCGATGCATTGCCTGAGTTTTTAGCTATTGGAACTAATCATGGGCTAGTGTATTGGTATAACAGGGAAAAACAAGATCTACAAAGACTTCGATGCGAGGTAATGCTTAAAATGAATTTTTAAAAAATTGTACGTTTTATGCTTACGTACAATGATGTAATCTTTTTTTTAGAATGTAAATTCAAAGATTACTTGTATTCAAGTAATATCGACTGTGGATTATATGGTTGCTACTGGTAATGAACACGGTGTTATAACTGTATTTCAAATACCAAAAAATCCACCAGATTCATTACCAGATAGCCTGAAACCAAAACAGAAAAAACAGGTGGAACGATACAGTATTAGTGGATTGCACAGCAGTGCTGTAACAACGGTCGAATGGTCAAAGAATGGCATGAAATTATTTAGTGGTGATCAGGATGGTTTAGTAGTACTGACTGAAATTGATTTTTACATGGTATGTAATAGAAAATAAATATTACTGCATAACAGTTTTTCTAATGTATTTTTATTATAAACTTTTGAAAGCACTTGTCAAAGTCGTCCGAGTTACTGAATGAAAAGTATGCAGTTGTACAACTGAGTTATCAACAAGGTTTATTACTGGTTTCAACAACATTACGTACAATACTAGTAAATAAAAATGAGAATGGTAAGGTAACACAAGTTGGTCAAAAGGAACGTAAAACGTGAGTACCGATTTTAGTAAGTAATTGATGGTAATGTTGTACACAAAAGGATTTTCTAACAATTGAATTCTTCAGATTAGGGAAACTAGGAGCAATATTTGGCTGTCGACAAAACTACGTTCAAGAGTCGGTAATTTATGCGAGCAGGCCTGGACTGCGTTTATGGCAAGCAGACAAAACTGGAACTGTATCAAAAACGCTTATTTTTAAGGTTTGCATAAAAATGTGTTATTGTTTTAAAATTGTTTCTATCAATGCTTGTAATGACATGTATTTTTAAGGATGCTATTCGATCTGGTCACACAGAAGTAGAACTTTTGAATCCGGCGCCAGAGAGCTCAAAAAAAAATCGTGGGGAACCTACATTTGGTGTCATTTTACCTTTTTGTGATGATTTATTAATCACGTACAGCGATGACATTATATACGTAGTAAATCCGCAAACTATTGCTATAACGTCCATTGTAACGGACTTACGTCGGGTTACCGATGTTGCTTGCACTAAAGATGAAATATTTGTTTTGGAAGGAGAAAGGAACATCATACGTATTTCGTATTATCCTGAAACAAATATGTTTTCGTCTGGTAAATATTATTTTTTTAATATTTTGTCTGATTTTTTATCCGATCTTAAACAATTAAATTTTCAGAAGCAACAAATACATTGGATCCGCTGTTATCGTTCGCAGAAATTAGTAAACCAGTTACAAATGGTATATTAGAATTGACTTCTAAACTAAAAGAAAGCGCGATAGTCCCAGCTATTCCGTTTCATAAAATTAATCCATCTAACATCATTCAGTCTGTGGGGTAAGATGTGAAATGATAAAATTTTATTTGCATCTTATTAGTACACGTAATACGCAAAGTACTTTCCAGCATTGCACCGATTCTTACTGCTGATACTGATGAAACTTCGATTGTTCATGCTGAAGAAGCTGTTGAAATACCGCCCGTAAAACCGATACATTTAAATAATGAAGCTTCGATAAGAAAAAGTACCGAGCAGAATGGCAAACAGAATGATAGAAGTCAGATATTTCAAAAAATCAGTCAACAAGAATTTGAAGATGTCGTTTTCACCCCAAAGAGAAAACTGAAAAAATCACGAAATAAAGTATTAAATGGAAACGAAAGTTGTTCATCGTTGTCCGATGCCGATGACTTGTCCGTCTCGAATAAGGATAAAATAAACGCCAATGACGCTAAGACGACGCATTCCTCTTTACTAACACTAAGTGTCGATGACGAGTTTGTGTTTGAGACTGAAAGGAATCTTGAATTAATTCAACGTGATGTAGAAAATAAAGAAAAACTGTTAGCTGATATTTTAGATTTAGATTTATCAAAATACATGACAAGCAGTCAAGTTACTGCTACTACTACTGATTCAAATGTTACTCAATGTATTGATACGATTACGTGCATTAATTGTAAAATAGATTCCAATGATTCTTTAGAGGTAGAGAGTAATAATCAGCAGGATGAATACAATGAGCATAGCGATCATACAGATACTGACACCGAAGATGATGTCAGTTACCAAACAGAATTAAAAAAGTTTGAAGATTTAGGTGAGTGCAGGAAGAAGCTTTTGCAAGAAAAATTAGGCGATCCTTTATTACATAATAACTATGACGATACGAGAAAACAGCCACACCCAGAAAAAGACCAGACCGAGTTAGAAGTTCAATTCCATGGTAACAATAACTATATAACATTTAATTATTGATGTATATCGACAATCGCGATTAAAAATGAAAATATTTTAATGTTTTTATATTTCCAGTTTTATCAGTAGAATCTATTGCATTAAATGTGCTCGAGGAAGAAGATTGGGTCGTAGTGAAAAATGATACAATGTAAGATTACATTGAAAAAGCAAATTATACACTATAAAATAGTATGTATGTTGTTTTGATAAAATCATTGCCGCATAGAGAAGCTTTCAAATTTTAGAGAAAGTGGACGATTCTTTAACAGTTAAGGTGAGAATAGCAGTAATCTGTACTTTGATCATAATACAAATTTCCGCAGAAGTATATTTTAATTTATGACTGTAACAGCATTTTAAAGTACAAAATTTATAATGTTGCAAATAAAAATGAGTTTTTTTTATGATATTTCAGTATGTATTGGTGTTAAAATAAATTAAATTATTTTACTGTTATGGAAAAATATATTTATACACGTTTCTTGAATTTTATCCACAATTGAAATCATTGTATTTATATACAGCATGTTTGTTATCGAACTCATTATACTTCCGGCATTAAAATAAATATTAATAATAATAATATAATACATGAAATCAAATTTATTTAAATTAAAAAAATATGAAACAACTCGGAAAAGTAAATTGTGCATAATTTCAAAATAACAGAAAAGTAAATATTCTTTCTTAATTTTTATTATAGGATTTACAAAATAAGTTAACAAGACACATCTTAATAGGAATAATTTGATTTGGAATAATTTATTGTTTTACGATATACATTTTCTCGTGAACGTCTATATGAGTATGTTATCTTCTCTCACTTTACTGAATATTGTAAAATGTGATCACGCGGCTGCGGTAATAACATCGCTGTATCTTTTAATTTTACTGGCAACGCTCATATCTACATATTTGTCACCTATTGATACAACCATTCCCCCAAGGATGGTGGGATCAACTTTTGCGGTAAGTAGAATAGTTTCACCTTTGTTTAAGAATCCCTTCAATGCTGATTCAAGCTTAGATTTCGTATCGGCATCGAGTGGTTTTGCAGTAATAACTTCGCAAACAACCTCGCCTCTGCCGGCAGCCATTAATAATTTGAATGTATTGATTACATTGTTCACTTTCTGAAGCCTGCCATTTTCTGCCATTAAACTTAACAGATTTCCAGTTTCTTTAGAGAGACTCATTTTATTGGTGATAGCCTTAAGTGCTTCTACTTTTTCTCTTCGTTTAATCGATGGATTCTTCACAAATTCATTCAGCTTTTGATCTTGTTTTATGACATCCTAATAAAACACAAATGTTTTTTTTTTTTTTTATCATAAAGGCTGTTAATTATGGTAGTATTTAAAATACATACTTGGAATTTACTAAGATCTTTTTCAACATTGTTCAGTGTTTTTTGCTTTGAAGCTGCAGAATAAAGTGCTGTAGCGTATCGTCCTTCTAATCCAAATACTTGGACTGGAGGCTTGACAAAACATAGAAATATTCTTAATTTTTATTAGATAATGTCAAATTATTCAAAAATTTAAAGTTTGAATTAGAAAATACAAATTAAATGGTTTGCTTCAAGTTACATAATTTTTATATTAAATATATTTTTAAAACATGTACCTTAACCATTTGCTGGACAGCAGAGCTGCACGAGAATGATCGTATCTGTAAGAAAGTAACGTAATCTAGTAATCTTGTCGAATTTTCATTAAACAAGGCTATCAATGTTTTCATTCTATTAATATAGCGAATAGGTTGTCACGAAAGTTTGTTCCAGTGTCAAAAAATTAATGTTGCATATTATTTGAATAGAAGCAACGATGATAAATTAAGTTTTATGGTAACTTACGATTATTCTGCTAAAAGACATTGTTGCGGTCATTCAATAACAGTTCATACAAAATCCAGAACGACAAATGTGGTTTTATACTGTTCTATGCATTCATCATTACATAACGTGAACGCAACCCTTTTAATTTTAAAAGCGACATCTCTAGAGGGAGCATAATACTTCTATAATCGATTACATGTGACTCGAAGTTACTAGACGTGGTTGTGAACTAGCCTTTAGATTTATGGTGACCAGAGGAATTGTTCCAGGATGCCGCCATAATTTCGTAGAAGACATCAGTTCCACGCAGGGCATCGCAAAACGCGTAATTATTGTGAGTTTTTGCAGTTTATTTTGTATTTTGGAGTTGCAATACGAACGTCCAATCACGTAAATCGTATGAACTCTTTAATTATTTGGAAATATGTAAACTTTCGAATAATTCAAACGTTCAAACGTGTCCCGCTGTTCTCGTCAAGAAATTCTCATTCCCCCACTCCTACTTTTGGAGGTGAATTTGAGTCGCTCGAAAAGTTCGTAACGAAATTAATATTTTCAATATCTTCGTTTCTACAATTAACGAATGTTATCTGTTAGAATATTATCCATTTCTTGCATCCGCGGTTTCTACCTGAGGCATCCTTATTCCTCTTCGAAATACGAGCTTCGTGAGACATCGGAGCTTCCCCCACCCTGCTACCTGACTCGCGAGCGTTACCGAACACAGCGAGAGATCGTCATTCGTAGTCTAAAGGCTAACGCAGTAAGACGTGTCGAGACGTGTCCCGGCTTGTCGGCGTTTCGCGACCAACGAGGTGTGTATTTCTAATCTGTTGATATCTCATCATTATTACTATTCACATTTATTCTCTAACTGTGCTTTAGTGTAATATTAATACGGTTTTATATAAAAACTAAATCGAGTGCGCGCGTTTTCTTCGATATCTAACCGACGTCGATTTATTATATCTTTCTAAACGAAGTTGCGTATTTTATACATCAATTATTGTTTGATGGTGATTAGATATCTTTACTGCGATGCATTTGATTTTAATTTGTATCTTACTTCTGCAGCAGTGTCTGATTGGAATTCGAATAGAAGGCAAGCTACCGGCACGACGCCATGACACTTGGAAACATTGAAATCGCGCCAATTTCAAATCGTCTAACAAGGATTGGTAAAATTTAATATACATATATCATTATAATAAATAGCATTTATACACTTTTTATATATATTTATCATTTTATCGAGTTATTATTTGTTGGAAGCTTGATAAATAATTTTTTAATTTCCTTTATAATCGATTTCGATTAAGTGCCAAATTAAATGGGAATCAATTTCCGGGCGTCTAATAATTAATTAACAAAGAGGAATAAACAATACGAATCATTTCATCTCGGGAATGAATTTCGATAAATGTATTCAATATTTTATATATTTTATTTAAACGATGCATACATAAATATTGTGCGTTATTATTTATGCACATTATAACATTATATCGTTATATACAAACAACGAAGAATTGTTCATCGCGGTTAATACCGAACTAATCGGCTGTAAATTTAAAATGGTTCCTTAAGATAGAAGAATAAATGTAATATCGTAATATAGAAAATTTTTGCATCGCATAATAATGTATGGAACATTGAATATTTTAATGAAACGTAAGAAGTTGTATTTTAACGTGGACTTAGTAATGTGTAGTATTTTTTTTTTCTTTCTTTTTGTATTTTGTCTCTATTGGAATATAAAATTTTTAAGTAGCTTCTTTAGAATAGACGAGACTTGGAAAATTTCAAGAAGGTTCTAGAGTAATTTTGAAAACATTATTTCTGTGTATCGCTATCATCTCGTTAAAATATTTCAAGTTTTTAAATTCCATTTGTTTTTACATCTCCGAAATGTTCTATTGATAGAAGATTTTCTGACACTGATAAGATCGATAAAACTACAGACGCGGTATAAGTTTTCTGCGTTTACTGCTTTTAACCATTCTAATGATTCCAAGTATCTTGGAAATACAATTTGAGCTAAGCTTAGTTTTAACCAAATCGTGTTCGAATAAATTATCCATTCGTTAACATTAATATAATGTTAATGTCTATTCAACGTATGCCAAAACGGTACTTTTCCTACTGTTTGTGCCGTGCCTACTTTACATTTAGTATTTTGAGTAATGATAGTAGATTATTCTTTATCGATAGTGAAACGACCACTATACATATACATATATATACATGTACAGGTTGCCTTACATAGTGTTACGAGCTATCTTAATAATCAAATACATAAACACCCACATATACAAAATTCAACAACCAAAAATATCCAAATTTTCAACATCCAAATAACCAAATACATAAATATTCAATATCTAAATATGGAGTAACTCCGTGGTCTTAATGTACCAATGTTTAAAGTGCCTTAATATATCAATACTTCAATTTACCGATACTCGGTAGCCAAATACTTCGATACGACAGTAACACTTTACGCGAGACACCCTGTCCGTAGATTTAACATATATTATATGGATGTTTGAATATATATATGTACATATAGACTTTGTATATACATATAACTTTTATCTTTTTCAAAACTCATCTATGTAGATAAAATGCAATTCTGTCTATTTTTATTGCGTTATGGAAGATGACTGGAATAGTTGTAACGAAACCTGGAGCTTGTCTATAGAGCAATCCGACTTATTGTTACAGTCTAAGGTACATGACATTAAAAAATTTCTGTCGGAAGAAAGAGTCGGAGGGACAACCATAGAGCGTACTATATCTCGGTTACCGTAGCCTTTGCAGCCGAAATGTATGGAATAATAGTTGTTGGAAATGAAATTTCTTAACTTTTTTGGTCTATACACAGTTTCGATAGAATCGATAGTAACCGAGATATCGAGCAGATTCTGGCTGCAGTACATACTCCGGAATCGTTGTACTTAAACAATATTTTCATACTTATAAATATAAATTATAATATATTTAACGTTGAAATAAACCGTGTGTAGAACGACATTACTCGTATCTCGTATGAGTAAAATAACTCAAAAAGTGTACATATTTCAGACGAGGTATTTTCATAGTTTCGGCTTAGAATGTAGAAAATGATTGTACCGTAATAATGAAAAGAATGAAGTTAAAAATACGTCGTTATTTATCACAGAAATACACTACTTTTGAGGTCCATAGTATCTAAAATCTCAAAGTTGAGAATTATTTAGTCGTGTCGCTCTTCCGTGAAAGAGCAACATCTGGTTCACGTTGGTCCGCGTACGAGAATATATTGGAATCGTTAACGTCTAATTTGATTGGCATTTAGTTCTCTACTTTCCGATGCAACGAGCTCTTGGTAGCATTTTAAACAATATGCACTCAATGTAAAATTTGAGCCTGTCACGTTCACCTGTATCCTCTATCCTCGAAGTTGATTCATGTATCGCCAGTTAGCAGAAATGAATAAGTTCGTAGAGCTGTTGTACGAAGATACGAGTGCCTGGATCTCGAATAGAATTCGGGCGAACGAACGACAACGTTAAGTCTATGACAATCGATTCTAAACATTGACCATTTTTCCCCCCCGCAAGTGTACTTAAATACCAGAAAATAGGAAATACGTAATAATTCGTCAAGAAGTTCATCGTTTCATCGAATTTCGATTGAATTCAACCCTGAACGATTCCGTTGTAAATTAAACTCTCTTAAAAAAATATAATCGCTTTACAGAAATGTCGTGTATATATTTAGAGATCTGTACTTACGAACTAGATAAAGCTTGTGTCAGGTTCTTATCGACTAGATCGACTAGTTGAAGTTGTAACATTTCACGTTTACGAATCACGAATGCCTCCCTTTCGGTTTCTACGTGTTCCCCAGTCGACAAAAGGAGGCTCGACGAAACTCTTCCGCAGAGTCTGTTCTTACTTGTGCCAGCAACTTGTCGATTGGTTTTATTTGCAAGTTGAGCACACGCGTACAAACGTTTTGTCCGTGCGTCGAAGAAACAAGATTCACCTCCTTTTGGCGGACAGACGTACGCGTTTGATTAATTTAAACATAATTGGTTCTCGCGGCGCAGCAGAAGAGATTCAAAGCACCGCGGAAGTAGGACGATTGTCTAGCGGATCTACTAGGTCTGTCGTTGCTTTGATTTCGTCGATGTGCTCGTTTGCCGTTGGTTCGGGTCCCCTTGCTTCCGAGATTCTGCAGTGCCGCGTATTTCTCTGCAAACGTACAGAATTCTTTTAATCCCGTTTTACTCGACTCCCTCCAAAGGACAGATTACCGTTCCAACGGTTAAATAAATCCTGCCGGGCAAAGGGTTCGCGACAGATCTTTTTTCAACCGAGATTCCATCGATCCCACTACGTATTTTCACGGCCAGTTTCAAAGGTAGCGTTAATTCGTGTTATTTCGCGACACGTTTCCCGCCGTTTGACCAATTTGATCGAACAAAATTGGAACAAGCAGCGTCGAAGTTCCAGCACGTGTAACGAAAAGTTCAATCGGTTATTTCGGAAACAAATTTCTGAACTCTGCCCATCGTTCTAGAATATTGTAGCTTAAATTGTACAACTGAATTGGCGGCGCTTCAGCGTATAATCAGAGTTCCCTTTGGCGTTGAAAAGCGAACTGTGCCGTAATTGATAATCACCTGTTCCCAACGTGGACGTCGCGAACCGTTCATTTCTTACGATTCCGTTGAATCCATTCTGTAACGCGAGATTTGTCAAAGGAACGTTCCTCCGCGAGGCGGTAGAATTTTCAAAGGTACGATCGGGAAGCGCTATCTTATGTATGGAAACGTATTATAGGGTGTTCGTTGCGCCGTAAAAGCGCGAAAAATTATCGAACAAATTGCAGCGAAGTATGACGCGCGTAAGACCCCCTCGTGTCGCGAAAATATCCTCGCCATTAACCAGACGGCATCGGGGAAGTCGTAACGTCGTTTCTACGGATAGCAATACGGAAAAATCATGCGACTCGCGACGAGGTACGATGAAAGGAGGGCTTAACTCCCTCCGACGCGGCGACCGCGCGATAAATTGCGACGCCTAACGCGGACCTCCTTTTCGCGCTTTAAAGCAACGCGGAATGTTGAAATCTCGGCGAGCACGAGTGTTTCGAGTATTTCGGAAAGCGTTAAATAAAAAAAAAAAAAAAATGAAAAAATCACGCGAACGCCCCCCCCCCCGGGATTCTTTTGATCGCAAAGCGGCTCTCGCGTTCGCTTTATCGGTCACCGGCGGGTTTTTTCCGCGATGTTTACTCCTTTCCCCCGCCCCCCACCTGTCAAGCGCCCTTTTCGAGTAACGGCAGCTCGTTTTTCCCGGAAATCTCCCGTCCGCATTATGAGCGCAAAAATGAAATGGCTGGGGCGTCCTTGACCCCGGGTCGCGCTCCACGACGATAATACTTGGTCGGTACGCGTACATATTAATTTCATCGCGACGAACAGAGGACTCGAAACGGGAACGAACAAAGCAGTGACGGAGAATCCGTGGCCTATAGGTCGTGTACGGTCTCTCGAGACCCTCGGTAAGGTCTTTTCTCGTATTCCGTCGAGCGGAACAGATGTTTGAGTAATCGGACAAGTGGAAAAAGTTTTTTCATAATATTAAGAACCACGGTGTCTCGCCAATAACGCGATGGATGGTTGCTTTCAGATCGTCGACAGTTTGCGGTTCGATGGAGTAAACAAGAGACTGAACGTGATCGCGTAAGAAGAAGTACAATCCAGTCGCAAGATCTCCGTGGCAGAGAACGGTAAATCTCACCCGATACAGTCCGCGTCTTGTTCAGTTTGACAAGAATCAAGACCTAAATACTACATTGTATTAATTTTTTTCTTTGAATTGCAGGTGAAACGTGGGGCCTCAGGATGAATCTCTGCAGTTAGAAGTTTCCCACCCTGGAAGCAAGGGTCGTGTCTCTGACAGCCGTTTTCTAGCACACAAGCCCGTTGTTCTGTCGTTAGAAACGTTTTGTCGGACTTTGTCCGGCGCGATTGTTTCCCGAATCGCGGCTTAAATTGCTTTATCGGTTCGCGGTCAGGCATATTTCCCTCTCCGTTCTCGATTTTCCGCTCCACCCTTTTTCCCCGCCTGGGAGAATTCTCGTTCCCGCGGAGAACGGCGGCGACGGGTTTTCCGCGTTTCCATTTATCCTTGACCCGATCTCCATTTAACGTTAAATAATACCCCTCGCGTTTCCCGTTCATCGCGTACAATATTTATTTCTCTGTCGCCGGTGCACGTGTGCATGAAACCGTGACGACGCTACACACGGTCTTTGTACGAATTTCGAATTGTCTCTCGCGTGTTCGTTCGATCTACACTGCCGGTCCGTAAGTATCAGAAACGTTGTCGGTGTTTGAATTATTATAACTCGGTGAAAAGTAGTAGCTCAACGATATTCCTCGGGTCATTTTAAACGTCGAACCATCTACTATTAGACAGTAAAGGATTGTTATTATTAATTTCGAATTGTCGCTCGCGCGTCTCGCGTGTTCATTCTATCTACACTGCCGGTCCGTAAGTATCAGAAACGTTGTCGGTGTTTGAATTATTATAACACGGTGAAAAGTAGCAGCACAACGATATTACTCGGGTCAATTTAAACGTCGAAACATCTACTGTTAGACAGTAAAGGATCGTTATTATTATGTTCCAAAGATTGAGAACGTTTGGACCAAATGTTCCGATGCTTATGGCGGTGTATTTCTTTCTGGAGACACTCGAGGATTCAACGTTGCGTCGACGGTTTTTATTCGCGTCTCGCTACACTTGTGCCCGCCCCCGGTTCGCGCCGTTTCCTCGACGAATTCTCTCGGTACAGCGTGCACGAGACTCGACGGCCCTACCAGTCGGTAATTTCACCCAGAAGTTGGACGATCCTTTTTGTTTTCTTATTTCCCCTCTGTACGCCCGCGCGCGTTCTCTCTCGAGCGTGAATTTCCCGGCCGTGGAACGCCGAGGAGGAAGTCCCGCGTTTCCGCTCGACCTTGACCCCGATTCACGTTCAATGTCAAACCACGTTCTTTATTCCCCCGTCGTTCCCTCCGGCGGTATTCCCCTCCCTCGATAAAGTTTCGAGTTTACCATTAATATTCAATCGAAGGAACACGCCGCGCGGTTCACGCTCCCCCCTCCGGCTAGCGGGAAGCAAATCCTGAATTCCCTCATTATATCGACGAATAATTAAGGTCACCGTTGCGCCGTCCGGCCGAGAATCGAACCAGCACCCGCCGTCGGATAATTCTATAGCGAACTTTATCCTGTCGGAAGGTAATACGTTTGTTCCGTCGAATCAATGAGAACCCGGCACCGCGGTGTGCAAGACAGAGACGGAGGAAGGAGAACGTGTTCTCCTTTGAAATTCCAGACCTTGGCCTCCGGAGTAACTCGATTAGGGGTAGTTGAATAGAGAGGACGAGGCGAGGAATAGGAAGGAGGTGATAAAGAGGTCGAGCGAGGAAAAGATATTAGAGGGTAAACAGACTGATGCGCTCGCGGAAACACGTGATCGAGTTAACAGACGCGTTTACGTTTCAAGGGAAGTCGACGGATAGAATGTAACGACGATGGCCTGTTCGAGTCTCGGCTTTGAAACGGTTCCAAAATTTTTTAAACCTGTTCGAATCCCATCGGTACGTGCAAGGGGAAGATTTTTAACAGCGACGGGACAATCATCCATCACGCGTTATCGCTTATTTTTCCATTCACTTGGAGTAAAGCTCGATAAAAGAGTCCGGGATAGGACACTCGCCATGGTCGACGCGTCAACGCGTTGTTTTTTTATACTTTGCAACGTCTGGCTCCTAAAAATCTTTCTCTTGTAAGACTCGCGGGATTATCGATGGGGCAAACAATTTCTAGCAACGCCTCTGTGCAGAAAATACCTTTTATCTTTTCGATAGACGTCCGCGCGATATGTTTACGGTTTGGTAACCAATAGGCGTTTGTAGTACGGTGGAATAAAATATTCGAAACTTTAAACAATAGAAATATCGATATTAAATTTAAATCCTATGGATACAGAACTCTTTCAGTTTCAGAGGGGCATATAACTGTCCCGAGCGAAGATCCGTATCGCGGATAAATTCGAGCGTGGCTCGCGAAGACGGCACCAAAGGGATACAAACGCGTCGAGAACGTGGAAAAGCGGGATGACGGTAGAGGAAAATACGACGTTACCTATATCGCCGTCCGACTGGGGCATAAACTCTTGCAGTTCGTTGATCAGATCTCGAATTTCCTCGGAATCCTTTTTGATGCTGCACAGCTCCTCCTCGTAGAAGTTCGGTGTAATTTGCGCGCACAGAACAATCTGCGAGATCGCGTTGCCGATCTTGGACGGGCCAGTTCGAGATTCTGAAACGGGATAAACAAAAAGTTAAGAAGTATGCCCCCCAAGTAATTAAAAAAAAAATGTAAGTGATGTTACTTATCGTCGTATCGAGTTTAATGTCTTTATATTCGCGTCATAATATGTTCGTTAAAATGGATTGTAATTTGCCAACGAATTCACTTCCGTTGTTTTCACGCGCGAAATACCGCCGTGATTCAAGAAGAAATTTGTTGGCAACTTTTTTCGAAAAGGATTGCAGGGAGGAGAGCACGCAAAACCAATCTTCCTACCCTTCACGGTTGCGTGTACGTAGGATTAATGCCAAATGCTGCAGTCCCATGTCCCAATTAAACGCCACAGTGTACCAAATAAGAGAAGAAAATTTCAGCATGCTCTCGATTAGGTTTTTTCAAGATTTGTTTTCAACACAACTTCCATCAAATGTTTTGTTAAGGATTTTTAATCGTCGCGCGATAATCGGAGACAAACATTTACGCCAACTGGTATAATCGCTGTGAATTTTGAAACGACAAAAATCGTCGTCCAGCCACTAACGACGCGTTCTTTCTTCTCGGTGTTCGACGAACGAAATTACAACAGGGATAACCGTGACGTTACGCGAAACGATGAAAATCCTTTCATAGCGCGCTAACTAGCGTTCTTTTCATACGGAATCCGTTTTCCTCGCGAAAAGAATGCCAGCGTGCGGCCAGCTATTCTTCTCGGCGAAGATTCCCTCCTCGCTGAGCTTGTTCCCGCGAAATATATAATAGTTTATCGTCGCAGTTTGAGCTGGACGACTCGTCGCCGGATCGACGCTGTATAACATTCATGAACAGTGTCACGGTCTCATTGTCGATTTATTTAAACGACTTGTTCTTGAAAATTACATCGAATGATTCTTGATACTTTACCGTAATATTCAGTCATGTCCATGGGCACCAGACGGATAAGATTTTTACTTTTGCAGAGCTCGCGTAGGAATAGTTGAATGACGTAGAACAGAAGCATCAAATTCGGACAGTCCACTGGGATCCCGATGTCCGTAGTCCTGAAAAGCAGACGTAATTCGTTGGCGTATTACGTACACCGTGGAAGTTTCCTCGTTAAAGATTTCGTCGCGTCCTGAAAACAACCGGCCTTGCTTCTCCCCGGTAATTATTACTGTTCCCTATTGTTCCTTGACCGTTATTGATATCGCGTTAAGTGGACGGAGTCTCATTAGACGGCGCATCAAGGCAATTACTCGAAAAATCAACGCTGTAACTACGCAGTAACTGTAATTAATGCATACCTATTCTCATCAGACCGGTCGAAATATCATTTGTGTTCGCATTATTTATTATTTTATCAAATTTACAGATATAGTAGTATCCAGGGATTAATAGCAGCGAGGTTAAAAAATATTACAAAAGACGCGCGGAGACCATGAGACCCAGCTTTTACCGTATATTACCTTGTCACGTATGTAAGTTTTCTCGATGAAATTCATTACTAAGTCATTAACTAAGGTGTACTATTAATTTCGAAAGTGGCACCAGCCGTTCGACTGTTAGAAAGACACACTTTCGTGCAAGTTACTCGTCAAATGATCGTAGATAAATATGTAGAACGTGTTCCATCCGTAACAAGCCTGTTCCTTTCAATCGCGAAGAGGAAAAATAGGAAAAAATGACGGAATTAACGAGGAACGTCGCCGTTCCGCGCGAAACAATCGTCCGTGGGGGGGGGGTGTAACAATAGCCAAATCGACGGGGAGAAAAACATTTCCCGTTTTTCTACCCGTGGTTCCCTCGACGGAGGTAAAAAGAATCGAACGACGATACTCAAAGTGTGGTTGCAAAACGTGTCGCGTGACGTCGAGTTTTATTGCACCTCCGTTTCGCCCCCTCAGTTTCACCGTGGTTTCGCGGAACGAAAGATGCGAATTTCTCGGTCTCGTTCGGCCAACGACTATTATTTAAGCATCGTAAAAATCTAATAAAACGTATCGCGAGCACAGACATTAATTTCCTTCTCCTTAATGCCAACTCGCTTGTGTTTTACTGCGGGGGTGGTTCGCATAACTTGCTCTTACCGTTCGATTCCCGTCGCGGTTTAGAAACTCCCCCGCGTTCCAGGATTATCGTTGATAACCTTTGTGTCGGTTACCAAAATGTTCACGGTTGTTCAACAACAAAGTGAAATTTTATGACACATGTTCTTTTTTGTTATTTTATAATAGTCAAGATAAATTGAAATGCCGTTGTGGTCGCTTTACGTTAGTTTTAAATTGGACGAAAGTTTCGTATACTTTCTGTTTTTCGTTCGAAACATAAAAGTTTACTAGCTTCTCCACGATGCAGGATTCTTTTAATCGTTAAAAAAAAATTGGTGTTCCAAATATGCAGCACTTCCCGTACCCCGGTGCCGGGTTATTGCCATAAGGGCTAATCGCGATCTCGACGCGAACAAGAAAGGGTAGTTTGTAGCCGGCAGTATGGCAAATTTTTGCAGAAACAGCCTTTCGTGCAACATGGTCGTGTAATCGATACGGAAACACCGTGATTTCGTAAGATAGGTTGCACGAGATACCACGTTTATTATTTTATATTATCGTATCGAGCGGAAGCGTCGGAGATAAATGGAACGTTCTTGAACGTTTCTTAGTAATTAACCGCGCAATACGTTTCGTACGATATTAAAAAAAAAAACGAACCGCGCCACGAAAAGCGTACGCGATGTTCGCGCGTTCAATTTCCACGGAATGAATATTTAAGCAACTCTCGAATCGCAATTAACGCTTGTTTGACGGTTTGAAACTAGAAATTACACAGCAGCGTTATGTGATTTAAGGGGAGGGGGTTGGCGCGGGGGTGGTTGTAAGCGTGTGTTGTGTACACGCAATTCCCCTCGGCTCCGCGCACGCATTATAATTAAGCTATTATATAACGGGCAATGCACGATAAACGAATATGCAGTATTTAATAATGCCGCTGTTGGGTCGAAATAATTGATCATGAATTTCGAACAGGGCCCCCCCGGGCGGTACCCGATCCAATTATCGAGCCGTTCGACCCGCGACACGATAAACGAAAGGTAACGGGTTCCCCTTTGTAAGATTCGCGGGCAAACTTGAAAAATGCATTTGCGTCGGAGAAGTTGCACTTTCGTGGTTTCGTTCTTCGAAAGAATTAACGAGAACACGAAAGAGAAAGGAGCTCCATGAAACATTTAGATTTTCATTTGAACCGGCGTACTCGCGGAAGAAAATTTTTCAAAGGCCGGAATATCCTCGGAGATTGGACCTCGGTCATTGTTCCCCGAAAGACCAATCCCGCGGAATTGATAACATTCTTTGCTGCGAACGGTATCGAAAAGGAGGAACGTTCGCCATACTGTGCCCATCGTGGTATTCCCAACGAAAGAACGATAATCTTGTTCCATCGTTGTATTGCGAATAGACTTCTTCGACTTCATTTCCGTAGAATTATCGCCGCCGATCGAACCCTCCGAGAATGGTTATTGTACCAACGAAATAAATAGAAAGAACTCGTTACGTTCGACGGATCGAATTTTCTTTTCCACGGTGAATTAAACGCGATTCAGCCGTACGGGGCCGTAATAAGCCCGATAAATCCTCGCTCACAATGGAGGCGGACAATGCCTTTTACAATATTTAGGGATCCCCGGGCTCACGATAACGTGTTTTAGAGTATCGTCGGCGAAAATCGTCGGTTATCACGCGACAGAAATGGAAACCAGTCACGAACGTGTTCGCGATCGTGGCCGGCCCGGCTTCTATCGTAGCGATCTATTTACCGTGTTAATTAAAATCTCATTAACCGGAAGCAATTCGAATTCGCTCGGCGCGACGTCTTCGTTTAACGTTCGATCGGCGTAATTGACGTAAACCGGTTAATCAACCGCCACGGTTTCCCCTTTTCCCTTTCTTTCTTGCTTTATTTCTTATATTTCTGACGCTTCTTATCGACGATCGGCTGCAGGCCCCGATCGCTTCGACATTTTCCCCCCCCGATCTCGCCCCTCCGAAAAGCGTCAAAGTCTCCGGTCTGGGATTGTTCGATTCGCGATTGCAATCGAAATTTTACGTAAAAGTTGTCTGTTGGAAGCTCTACGGTATTATAAAAAGCTCCCTTTGCGATCAAACTGTGTAGAGAAGTCATTAGTGCGGTGATTCGAGAATTTACGCAAAAAGTATAATCGTTGTTCGATTAAATTGAAGAAGGGTTAAAAAGAATGGGTTAGGGGTAGATAGAGTCTACGAGAAGTTTACGTACCTTCGTACTTGTGGCAGTATGAGCTCAGACGTGCTTTTGCACGCCTCGACGCAATTCCGACGCAATCTTCGAATTTTTTCCCGCAGTTCCGGACAGTCTCGTGGTTGTCCGATATTTATCAGCAAGTCGCGGAATTGCGCCACTTGGTTATTGATATCCCGTATTTGCTGCGAAAGAAAAAACGTACCACGCGATTAGTCGCTCTTCCCGGTCCTCCGCGTTGCTCAAATATTCACAAACGCGACGATTAAACCGTCCGCGGGGATGAACCGAGTAATTTGTTACGCGTTCGACGATTATCGAACGATAAACGAAACAAAATAAATAGCTGTCCTTCGTCCCGAAACGTGCATCGAATATTTTATCGAAAGCAGGCTGTACCAATGGTCGACTTAGATAATACAATAATGAAAAGTGGTGTTACTTTACCAGAAAAATCACTTTTACCGTTTTCTCGTTCTTGTCATCTTGCGCTTGAGCGTGGCTCGTGGTTTGCGTCTGCGTTTGCGTGTTGCTGGCCGAAGGTGCGGGCGATTCCGTCATTGTTTCGTTTCCGAGTGTGCTGTTTGATTGCTAATTGCCGCGAGGCAATTAACAATAGAGCCCCCCCCCGACGGTGTTTATAAATATAACAAGTTGTTTGCCGCGCGAACACCGACGAGGCAACGGGAATACCGAGCTTTAAAAACCGATATCAACTCTCACAGTCACGTGTTTTTATTTGATTTCAGTTCACGGGTTAGAAAACGACATGCCAACGTTTGATCTTCCCGGTTACAGTGCCTCACGGAACCGTGCATTTCATTGCTTTCACTCTCCCATCTCCGAACTGTCTCAGTCTGACATTAGCCGCGAACAACATTTCCCACAACGTCCTTCGATGGAAGAGGCATCAGCGATATACGTTTCGTTTCTTTCATACGGTTCACAAAAATATCGAGTAGCTAGGCGACCCGCGAACTTTTCGAATCTAGATACAGTTTCGTCGGTATCGTTCTCTCGCCCTCGAACTGTCGTTTCAACGCACAGTAACTACGATACATTTCACACAACGTCCTTCTTCCGTAGAAGATAAATCGGTGATCTATCTTTTATAAGTCGAGCAGCGTTCGAACAAACGATCGAGATACCGACATTATCACCGAACCTCCTTCTTCGATAGACGATAAATCGGTGACGTATCCGTCCTCTTTATTCGAAAGGAAACCGTGGACCTTTTCGAACGCGATAATTAACGAGAAACTTAAAAGCAGACGGTAATTAAAAGAGTCCTTCGTTCAGTCGTTAATACTTCTGGCGATGAGGACGGGGCAAAATGCGCGAATGAATCGAGCGAAGTATTCTCGACAGAAACCCCGTCGTCGACGTTCTCCGCGCTGGCTTCATCTTTCCACGTGAGGGCTCCGTGTTCCCGGACGATTTCCCCGCAACTTTCTCACGACATCCTTCGACGAACGTTTCCGCAGGACGATATCCGCGCCGTGCCAGCACACGCGACAAACTGAAACGTGGGCTTTGGCTCCGGAGCTCTTTCGCCGCCGCGTTTCTCTCTTTAAGAGCGCATGTCTGACTTGACCCGTCACTCCACTACTGTCGCCGTACGCCGCATACGCGTTCTCGCTACTGCTACTACGTGTACAGGGTGTTTTGTCACGGTCCGGGCATATAATTTCGCCCAGCGAATTTCGCAACGCCGGAACGACCAAGAGAAGTTCGCGCGAACGTGAGCTTTCCTCGGAGAACGTGTCTCGAAATCACGAACGTTTCCGCGTTCTCATCATTTTCCGCGCGAACTGTATAAACGCAACTTCGCCGTGCTATTTTCAGCTGATGCTTCGTGCGTGGCCTTGACGTGTATTTGCAAATAATTATTATCAATAAACGTTAATACGGGGGGTGTTTCCCCACAGGCGACGATACCGTTCAAGATTCTGCAGAGGGATACGAGAATCTCGAATAACGAAATTGCGTCGGGGTTGTTAATCGCTGAAAATAGAAGATACACAATTTTCTTTTTTAATTTAAAGATTTAAAGTGCAAAGAAATTGCTAATTTTCCGAGTTTACATCCTTGCAAACTTTTAAACGATGACAGATAAGACTCTAACAATTTTTTCTTTGATCTAGAATCGCGAGAAGAAGTCCGAATGGAATCAACGAGCCTCCGTTGTTAGGAACAGAGTATGACGAGGTCTTCAGAAAAATTGCGTTATTTCGTGGTGCAAAATTGATGCTCCGAAGGTATGCCCGCCAACAACGATTCATCCTGTATACAACGCATGCCGTTAAATGTCAATCCACTTAACGTGGAACATTTACCAGATACGTATACCGCGTAATATCATTTACGCACAGCGTTACCTTCGATACACGGTTAAGGACAGTCACGCTCGTATTTGTCCTCCATATTAACGGTAGTTTGTCATCAACGAGCCCCTCGTCTCTTTACTTTCCCCGCCGCGTTTCGCTACGAAGCGTACTGTAATATTCATCGTGCGGTGAAAATTAAATACGACGCAGCAGGAAATGATAATGCGACGCGGAAAAAGAATTTCTGGCCTCCTTTTTACGAGAAAAATGTGTTTTCGCACTTCCCGAAGGCGAAGGAAAGTTTACGGTAGAGACGAGGCTAATATTGTTTCCGTTCCGCCGGAACAGAGTCGCGAAACGTAAATGAAAGGGCGGTAATAACGTTCCGAGCCTACGGATGAATACGTTTTATTACGTGTCTTCGCGATAGAACGGGAATAATTCGCTTGGATGCTTAAAGAGTTATGATACTGCGAGGGGACAATAGAACGTGTGATTGTTATTTTCTTGGGACGTCTTTGTCCAGAATCTCAGATATTCTCTAGGCATTAACGATCCCACGTTTTAGTTCCTGAAAAATGAGAAACCACTTTAGTAGCGTTTCCATCGACGATAGGTTCGACGTTCTCTGTGAGCGATTGTCTGACTCGTTAGGCACCATACTACTGCGGCGTGTCAGCCTTTCATTAATCCTCGAGCGATTTATTAGTCCGTTTGAGGCCGACGTTCAGCTGCTATAATTTATATTTGATCGGTCCCACCGAAAAGCTCAGGAGATCGATAAACGAAAGTAAATATTTATTCGCGATTACGTAGTACGGATCAGTAATTGGCGCGATGCCAAACAATTTTTGCGAACAAACAGAGGGAAACGTTATCGCAGTTTTTCGTAAAATTAAACGGTGCGTTTGAAATATCGCCTGAAATTTTAGTACAAAATTCGGGACGACCTAATAATTACAAGTGGAGTCATCTGTGTCGGACGGCTTTAGAAACCGTTAATCGAAACGATGCTTCAACAGATACGATAAATAACGTACGTGTTGGTAGTTTATGCAACAGCTGCGCTGAACATTCGCCCGCGATCGTCGCCTCGGAACGAGTACATGCCTCTTTATCCGATCGAAAGTAGCTAAATGGTTTTGCACTTCGAAGTAACAGGTATATCTGCGTACAAAACGTAGGGGGGTGGAACAGAGTCGTAGCAACAGGCCAATTTCGCGTTAGAACGGCATCACTGGACACGCTCGTACGATTAAAAGCACGTGTCGATCGATTACAATAGCCAATAGTTGCTGTCGCCATTAGTTAATAATAATCGCCGAACTCGCGACAGTTACAGAACTGTACCGATCCGCGTTATCCATCTTTTCGGTCGCATCGAGCGGTAATTGCATCGCCGCAATGGTTCCACTGGGAGACCTAGATTCTTCTCGCTTTTGTTCGAATTTCGAAACTTTTCCCTCGCAACTTTCACGATGTATCACACGAGGCGAACAGACACAGAATTTACGAAACTGTTTCTTCGAATTAGGGGAACTTGTGCAACGTCCCTGAAGAGAATACTCGCGTGTCTCTGCAGGTCGTGCGGAATATCGGAAACCGCTCCGAGAACTTTTCACTCCTCTCGAAGGGAGGATTAAAACGTGTACGTAGCGCGAGATCAAGATCACCGAGAGTTATTGTTGATATTTATTAACGAGAACTATACCCCTGTGTTCGTTATATATCGTACCCTCGGTAATTTATTGGCAATCGTATTAAATATATTTCCACGGTATCGAAGGACACGGGATATCGACCGTTCGTCAATGGCACTATCGCGCCAATAAACACAATCCCCGTTTTAAACGAAAGATTATTTCGAAAACGTGTAATTAATTTATCGAAGTGTAAAGATTAACGTCAAAGTTTTAATTGGGACAGAACTGCCACCGTTCTACGCGTTATTTTTTTCAATAAACCGGCTCGCTATTCAGATTTTCGCGCGATAATAAATCGGTCGGTCTCTCGGGAGTCGGACGGTTCTGATAACGGGGGTAAATTGTTCGCGTGAATTAAAAATTGTACGAGAAGCCTTGACATCCTCGAAAGAGATTTTCTTCTCGCGCAAATATTGGCCACGGTTTTATTTCCGCCGTAGATTTATTCGGAGAAGAGAGGGCATCGCTTTCGCGAGGTTTAGCGAGTTAGAGCGACGTTTTCTCTTATCTGAAATATTGTGATTTCCCGTCCGGGCGTGCGACAGGAAACATATCGTTAGTCGTTTAGAATAATACGGGTAGCATGACGTTATTCTTCTGGATTTGCTCAATATTCTTGCCTCGTACGATGAAATCGGAATAACGGACGGCGAAGTTTGCGTTAGCGCGTATCCGCGAAAGACGGGAGCCCGTATTTTATTTCCTTCCTCTATATTAAAATGTTCCCATTTACTTACCCGGGCGTTAGCGTGCTTTTAATCTTCGAGAGCACGAAAATATAAAGTTCCGCGAGGCAGGAGACGGGAATCAATTTCTGAAATGGGACTCGTCGAACGAGCCACTCGTCCGACCTTTTCTAAACCGTACTACTTGATTTCGACAGTAATTTGATTCAGGGGGCACGGAGGCACCGAAAATATGAAGCCAATACCTTCCGGTAATTCGATACGCATTTAATAAACGACGCAAACACGATTACGCCCAGCTTTATAAACGTGTTCGCGAATGCCAATCAAGTTTACGTCGAATAATTTTAGTTCCATCGAGTCTAGTTCGGTATTTTCATACCATCACTTTCGTTCGACGCTCGTATAAATCCATTTCGATAGGAGACGCGACAATTAACACGTACACGTGTCATCGATCAATTATATTCATCGTTTTCGTAATTATTTCCATTATATTATCGCCCCGTATCGCGCTCTGACAGAAATACGGACTAATGTCGTTCGCGACGCGATAAAATATGAGCGCAGCCCGAATACGGACGGCTTCTTGCGAATTTTATGTACCATTCATATCCGGCTGACGCGGCAGTCAACGCGTTAAGGCCGTTTGTCACGAACTGACGTTTTTTTTTCACACTGTTTGTCACAATATTTCGGGAACTAATAGACCAAGAGCAGATCTCCCATCAACATCAGCCCCCGATTTTCCAACGTTCGGTGCTCGGTCGACGCGTACACAGACGCCAGATGCGAATTTACATTTACATCGACTCGCGACTGTAATTGCCCCGTTTAACGGGGACAAGACCGCAAGTGGAAACGCGGTTCCCATAACGAGCCTAAGAAGAAACGCCCCTCGCCCTCCACCTCGATTTAGGGGGGGAAAAAAGAACGAGCCTGAAAACGCCGGGGATGTTCCGCTGAAATTAATCTTCTTCGGGCAGATCTTTCCCCGGGAATATCCGGATTTTCGTTT